GATCGAGATCTACACGAATTTTTCTAACAAATGGGAGATGAGATACGGTTAAACCAATAGTTGTTTTAGTGTTTAGTAAACCAATAATGCATGGTATACAGGGTGTCTCCATCAAAAAAATGGTTTCAAATCGAATTTCCTAAAAAGCTCTAATGGCTGCAGGTGGCTGCCATGGTGTCAAAAGCAAGGTTTATTTGTGTCTTCAGCATTTCACCATATTTTTGATATTCCGTAATATGAGATTATGGGTGCCACCATGGTCACCACCACCATGAGACTTGCCATAAAATTAAAACTCTGTACTGACATCGTCGTGTCATAATAAAGTTAACATATAAACTACTATTTTACTAGTATTGTAAGTATTGTACATTTTCTCGACAGCCCGACAGCCTAGGCTAAGCCTGAGCCTTTCTCAACACTAATTAGCGCACAATAATTAGGGATTTTCTGCATTTTTGGGGTCCTAATCAATAATAAGTAGAAATAGTCTTTTGCCAATGGGTAAAAACTTTGTTGCCAATGGCCAAACATTTTTGCTTTTTCTTCTCTTTCTTTCATTTTCAAAGGAAACATCAAGGTTTTTAAACGCGTCTTAGTAACTTGGAATTGAAATTTTTCGTGATCATTATTATTATGTTTGATTAACTATCTAGCGATTCTTTAGAATTTTGTTTAGATACCTTTAATTCTCATTGTATACTTAATTTTGTGAAATCTAATTGCTTTTTATTTACAGGTAGAATGGTGCGAAACTTTGAAAAGTTTGAAATGCGAAATCTGATGTCATTCCCAATGGAGAAATTATGCTACGACCTAAAGTTGGAGATGTTCGAGCATATGGAGCCGAATGATACCATTGAGTTGGTCAAGGTGAATTCAGGATTTCGATCGATCCTGCTGCGGAAGCCCTGGATAGTTTTTGGGCATCACGTGCGCATTATTAACTGGCGTACAGTAATTGAAATCTGGAAACTCTTGGACAGATACCCTTGGGATCGACGAAATTTTGTCAGCCTTGATCCAGATCTCCACTTTCCCTTGATCAAACGAATCTACTCTTGTAATGAGCTGACAATAAATTTGGACCACAAACAACTCGAGTACGTGATGCTTTTGAATCAGCTCCGCTCTATAAAAGGTTTGATCATCTATGGTAAACGTGGAGAGCATTTGTTGAAGTTTCTTGAGAATTTTCGCACGAGGATTGAAGAATACGCGGTGCTCAATATGGAAATTGATTTCCTCAACGAAAATCAAATGCTCCGTGAGCCTTTCAGGAATTTCATTGTAAATAAGTTGAATGACTGTAAAGCGGTCCAACTTGACGACATTCCGGGACATTCTGGAGATTTGTTCCACCTATACTACGATGCCTTTGTCAAAACTTCAATCGAATTCTTAGAAATGTCAGCAAAAACGACTCGCTTTGAAGAGATCGTGCAATCAATCGTTAAAAAGGGGACCCCAACCAAGAACGTTAAAGCGGTTTTTTATGTTCATACCAGATACTCTCAGGAGTTGGGTGCTCGAATTTTTGATTTTCTTTCGCATTTCCCTGGAATGAAGCATTTGGACGTAGAAAATCAGCGAGAAGTTTGCAAAATGGCGAGTGAACTCTTCGATAAGCGTAATCTAGCCTATGGGTCCGGGGACACATATTTTACGGAAGGTCCTGCTTTTCGACGAAACATTGATCCGAGCAGGGATTGTGTCTATATCCTTGACCGTGGCTACAACGTTTTTACGGCCTTTTTTGCTTTCTATCTGTCTTCTTGCGATTTTTAGCTCGCTGTGAAATAAATTTGTATTTTTTTGTATTTGTAAATTTGTATTTTTAAAAACCGCTTTGTGAAATAAATTTGTATTCGATTTTGCTTTTTTTGGGCGATGATTTGTTGTGTCAAAACACATGGCGATAACTTTTTGATTCTTTGATTGTGAAAACCTTATGTTTCCACTACATAAATCGATTCGGTTAGGCATTGCAGCTACATAATATACGATTCATGTCACTTGGATGTCATTTAGATCTCGAGCAGCAGTTCCGGTATCAGGCGATGAGTCGGTAACTTTTTCAGAACTTTAATTTGACAGCCACTTATTTTTAGCTCGATTGCAAGCAATAATGTGCGGGTTTTAGAACCTTTCCGAGTGTTCAGCAATTACTACGCTCCGGATAAACGCAAGAATCTCACAGATAAGGTATATAACGAAAATCAACAGTTAATAGTTGGTCCTCAGGTTTTGAAATCGGCTGTCATCGCAATTGCTGCCAGAATCAACAATCAATCTAGTGGTGAATTAGGCTTCCAAGACATTGAAACGTTGTCTTAGGATCGAAATACCGTAAGTACCGCCGGCCATCAGCAAGGAGAAGTGGTGTTTGGTGGGATGGTGAGACTGTAAGATGACAGGACAACGAATGTTTTTCTTTAGTTGATGCAATCTGGTTTATTGACTATCCGGCCTCCATCTACGTTCGTCCGCTGACCCGTTCGTCTCCCATTGATGGAACTTTTGTTTGTCCTTATTTTCTTGATCACATTTATTTCTTTTTCAGTTGTTGGCAAACACAGAAATTTACAGAAATTGTTTTGTTGTTATGTTTTTGGATAAATTTTTCGCAGAAAATTTTCTGCAAAAAACTGAGTTTATTGGCACCGATGCATACTTAGCTTAACTTTTGCGCATTCGAAAAACTAAGCGCCGCACCTAGGAGCCACTCGAAAAATAAGCGCCGCGGCGCCTTTTGGGGCAGATTCGGTGATAATGTTAGAACGTCCAGAAAAGCCAGAGCGTTAGAACAAAGAATTTAGAATTCGAGAAATTCATTAGTAGGTGTTATAGGGGTTCGTAGGTCACATTGTGCACAACATCACAATTGAATTAGTTGTCTCTTCGTGTGTGAAAGGGAACTGAATGTTTTTATTCAAAAAAGCATTTACTTACATACTCGTCTATGGGTGTCCATAAGTAGATACGTTGAAACGGATAAGAAAAGATAGCTGCTAAACGGGAGAATCGAGAGTGAATTTGCCTTTCCTTCTTTTCAAACAAATAAACTTGGTTTTAAATTGAACCCTTTCAACGAAAAGCTTGAGCAATTTGATTTTTAGAACTAAAAAGTCAGGTCTACCAAACGGGCCAGTTTCCGAGATAGAAATTCCACATTGCCGAATTGGAAAACTGTCTAAAGATCCTGTTTGAAACTATTTTGCCACCAAGGTTTAACTATCAAAAATCGGATCATTCAAGCCGTCTCCTCGGCTCGGTCGTTTTCATTCATCGACAAGAGCTCATCACCAATCTCTACATCGGATTTCTTGGGCTAATCTTCTCCTCATATTTCGTGTATCTGGCGGAAAAAGGTTTGGTTACATTCAAGCTCCAGGGCTGTTCGAAAAAATCAAAAACCAGGTCCAGTCAAGCCAGCAGCATTGGAAATAGCCAGCTTTGACTGGGCTTGGAAAATCGAAAAAGTCAAGCCAAAGCCAAAACCAAATTGAAAGGGTCCTAATTTAACAAAGTGAAAGTCGATTGAGTCGAGTTACAGGTACGAAAGCAAAGATCAAAATAATTTGTGTTAAAAAACGCCCACCTCCAGCATTCCAATTACAGGTGCACTCGATTGATCGCAAATTGGAAGCAACCACGCATCAACTTCAAGCCGTTTATCGACCAGTTCCACAGCGACAATCCGAAGATGTGGGTTTTTTAAAAACAGTACCTTTCTTACACATGAGCTATCCAACATCTGATAATTCGGCATAGACGATCACATACTTTAGCAAAACTTTAACATTACAGTTACAGGTACGAAACCAAAGATCATTGGGCTCGGCTAGTTTTGCAGTTTTTTGCATTTTTTAAAAAAAGGTTCGATCAAATCTTCTGATTTTCTGGGGGCGGAGTGTGAAAAGAATTTCCCATCGAACAAAAAAAAGTGCGTCCCGAATTTTGCTCTGGGCGTCGAGTTAGGTGCCTGTGACGGACGGACGTACGGACGGACACTTCTCTTTTATATATAGTAGATATTTTGTCAAAGATTTGCCAACCATACACCCTTAAAATAAAAGTTTATTACAGAGTGTTATTAACGGTAGCATCAAAAGATTGCAAATTGTAGATAGCAAGATGAATAAACACAGAAATTACAGAAATTTAATAAGCGTATGATCCTTCTAACATTTGCTAGTAGAAGGAGATAAAGTAAATGCGCCGTCAGATTAGTCTTCAAAAGTCGTCAAATGCTCCAACGCTTGCTATACAGAAGTTAAAAGCTAGACAAAACTTCCATCAACTCACCTGATTGCATGGATTGCCAAATCCTTTCATTTGCACGCAATCGATAGCCTTGACCCTGAAGTAGGCATGATTAGAAAGAAAGTTGAAAACAAATTTCAAGTAGCTTCCAAAGGACCAAATCAACCAAAATGACAGAAATTTAATAAGCGTATGATCCTTCTAACATTTGCTAGTCGAAGGAGACAAAGGGAATCCGACGTCAGAGTAATCTTCCAAAGTCGTCAAATGCCCCGACGCTTGCTAAACAGAAATTAGAATCTAGATAAAACTTCCATGAAACTCACCTTATTGCATGGATTGCCAAATCATCTCATTTGCTTGAAATCGGCTTTAGCTCTACAGTAGGCATAATTAGAAAGAAAGTTGAAAACAAACTTTAGGAAACTGCCATTGGTCCAGAAAAACCATAGGAACAAAGAAGCTAAAGCGGTGTAGACCACTAGAACAACCAGAACAACAACCGCACCTAAAAGAAAAAAGTGAAAATTAGCTTTACACCACAAACAGGCAACGAAATCCTCCTCGATTCTCCTCAAAAAGTCTAGTACGCTTAAGACGAGCTGAAAGCAAACATGTTCAAACGAACGTAAAAATTAACCTTGTACAAGAAGACGGCGCGAGCTGCCATATAATTGTCACAAATCGCCCAGAACATTAAAGCGAGAGAGATGACGTAGTTACAAATGACGCAGAGCATTAAAATGAAAAAGATTATACTAGGCAGCTACGTTAAAATTAATTTAAAACCTTATTTAAAAACTAACAATTCAACAATTCATAACTCAGCATGAGGGCATACACGGTTTGAAGCAAGCCAAGTAGAGCAAAGATAAAAGCACCGACAGCATAACCTAAAAAAATACCCGTCATGGTGGAGCAATCAGGTGCACATTTACAAACTTTAGTCTGCCATCACATTACTCCGCTTACCATTACTCACCTAATTCATGACAAATCAATTTCAATAAATTTTACCTTCATATGGAGAAACGGCTTTCAAAGCGAAACAAATCCTTCGCTCGAGCATTACGAGGATTATAGTCTATCAGGAAAAGGAACCAACCCTTTTGATTGAGATAAGCGTTGATTTCTTCCTTGCGTTTGACATCACCGGAATACCGAATGTCGCTGGCGCGATTCACCTCCAGTCGCAGCTGTTGCTTGTCGGCATCCTAAAATTGCGAATATACAAAGTACCATGGCTATGCATCAAACAGTCAGCTAGAAAATATAATCTAATAACTCAAATATTAAACCGTTTGCATAACATACGCCACTGAATTGAACGTTTATTGTACATAGCGGCAATAATGATAGCATCAAAACATTGTAAATTGTGATGCAAACCAAACACAGGCACTACAAACATTTAATAAACGTATTAACCGGTGCCGAAGTCGCTGAACGGACTGGTGGCGGCGCAGTGACGAAATCATGAGGCGGCGGAGCTTTGTAGGTAAACGGAGATGAAGGAGATTCGGGTGTCAAAGACTCCATCACGGCATCAACTTTCTAAACAGAATCAAAAACTAAACAAAAAAATTTCATGAAACTCACGTCATTGCATGGATTGGCCTCCCCTCATTTGCCCGTAATCGTCAGCTTTGGCCCTAAAGTAAGCATGATTAGAAAGACAGTTGAAAACAAACTTTCTAGTAGCTACCTAGGAACAGATCAACCATAGGATGAGAGCGGCAAAAACAGTGTAGAGCCAGAAATAAGACCATATCTAAAGAAAAAGAAAGGAAAATAAGCTTTAATACACAAACAGATGCCAATATCTTCTTTTGCAATTTCTTCGTCGTGAAACATCACTTCTATATAGAGATCTTTGCAATCACCCCTAAAAATTAAATTATTTTAACATAACAAACAATCGTTAGAACTTACAAACTTCGTCGGCGTCTGCAAAATGATTTTTGAGGAAGATCACAACAAACAGACTTTGGGAAAACCTAAAATATACCATGAGTAAGATCTATCCAATAACATTTATCTGAATTTGTCATCCACAACTATCACGGATCTCTTTTCTGTTAGCTCCTGATTTTTCAATAGCCATTCCAGCTGACGTATTTGGCATAAGAAGCTTAATCTAAGTTATCACAGATAAGGTAAAAGGGAACAAACCTCTTGTGGTGTCCTTATGATTAAAAGGATCTCGTGTGACTGTGACGTGTGACCTTTAACTTTATCTCAAATCTTCTCGGCTAAAGATTCGATGACGATCATAGCATGACTGACCTTGCTTTTCACCAAGCAAATTCCCTCATTGGCATTCCTAAAAAAGAAAAAAAAAGAGCGTATTTCATTAGACAACAACACCTGGACAAACTCCTTGATTTTTGTTCATTAGGTAAGTTTACTAAGTAGGTTCAAAAGAAAAAGATGTGTCACATTTCACACCTTAAATAAAAAAAGACCAAGTGGATTGCGGACAAATATACCCCCGCCCCAGATCACAGCAGAGTTTTGTTCCCCTGTTGGTTTGTGTTTCCAACCTGTTTTCCAAATAAGATGTTTATTTACATTCCCCGCACAACATGAACTCTACTCAAAACACAGAAAAACACATTGAAGAAAGATTATTTGCTGATTAAAGATTAGTTGGTCGAGCGCTTCTTCAAAACGAGAACATCGAGTCTCGGCACAGTATTTGGGAGCTCTCTCAAAGGCACGATTTTGTCGTCACTGATCTAGAATTATTTTATTGATCGTTTATGGGAAATAACCAACCCCTCTATATTCTCCATCCTCAATTCGCACAACAGCTACGGAATGGTTAGTCGTTGTAACATGAGCTTCGAACGGATTAGGACTTTCTTGAGGATCTTGCTCGAAACATAGGCGTGCTGCCTCAAATTCCTTACTGTTCACCCCTTGAATCCAGCCAATGATTTTGTATCCTAAAGAACACGTTATTACAAACTATTACAATTACTTATACCTTCATTCTGGTCGAGATACACTTGTGGTTTAAAGCCAGAGCCTTTATTACCACAAAACTCAGTCCGACCCAACAAGCTGCCCCTTACGATTTTGTACGCTTTTTCATCTCCAAATACTTCGTCCGGATTTGACATAAGACTAAAGAAAGATTTAGGACTACTTTAACGATAAAATACGACTCACTTCGTGAGCTTTAGAAAAGCTGACTCGTTTCCGAGAGGCACATCGGCAGCATAGCCCAGCTTTTCGCGCAAGTCGTTTACAAGCTTTCCCGCTTTCTTTTGTCCATCCTCCGTTCGTGGGACATCCCAAATTTGCTTCATGCATTGAACAGCTTCAAGGCTTCCATCGAGCTTGTCACGGAAAGAGCGCAACAACTAAAGATTCATCGACTTTAGCGTAAATCAGAATTGGTACAAAAGGAGCAAAAACTACAAACTTCCAAACTAGCGATGAGAGAACAGTTTTGTCCTCCATGTCCTGCTGTAGACGGCAGATTTTGTATTCCCTTTGGGTGTGTGTCATCTAAATCAAAAGTTGACTCGTCAAAAGGAAACTTAAGAAACTACTTAGTAGAATGTTTAAAAACTTCTTTTGAAGTTTTAAGAAAGCCCATTGAAAGTTCTGAGGGATCTTTTCCAAGATACTTAAGAACTTCTAAAAAGCTTCCAAGAATTTCCAAAGAATGGTCGCAAAAAGAAGTAACAAAATTAAAGCAAAAAAGCTAACAAACCTCGACAAGAACCAACGCAGCAAAAAAAGAGAATGCGACATGACGATGGTCGTAACAATGAAGAAATCATCGCTTCTGAAATCCTTTATATTTCAGGTTTAATGCAAATTTTAGATTTCCTATGCAAATTTTATGAAATGTAAATTTTGAGAAGCTAAAACAAAGGAAAACAGCTAAAATTAATTATGAAAGTCAAGTTAAATAAATTTACCATCAATTTTTCAGCGATTGAGAAAATTCGACGTCAATGTATGTACCCAAGCAAGTCGTCTTGTAGCAATGATGAACGCATCCCTAAAGTTTGAATTTAGCAACAAACAAATCAAAGGAGACTAATGAATAAACCAACACTTACTGAACGTTGATCGTCTCGACGTAGTAACAAAGATGTTTCAAAGGAGAACAAAGAAGAGCTCTGGGCCAAAGTAATCGCCAAATGCAACATTTGCCAAGCCCAGCGCTGCCTGCCATTCATCCACGCTTGCCCAAATCACAACGGTCTCGTCTCCGAGTCCCCCTTCGTCTCTAAAAATAAAGCACATAACAACCATTGCAACACTTGAATCATCGAGCTGGTTATACTAGAAGTTAACCTTTTTGTTGATCCGAATTGTGCATTGCGTTTGTCCAAGCGTAAGAACAATGTCGACACATCGTGTACCCAACGCCTTGGCGATTTGCTTATCATTGTTCGTCTTGGCATGGATGGCTTGCTCAATGAGCGGCTCAACTAAAGCAGATAACAAAATTGTGATTACTTATTTATACGTTATAGTCTATCAGGAAAAGGAACCAACCCTTTTGATTGAGATAAGCGTTGATTTTCTCCTTGCGTTTGACATCACCGGAATACCGAATGTCGCTGGCGCGATTCACCTCCAGTCGCAGCTGTTGCTTGTCGGCATCCTAAAATTGCGAATATACAAAGTACCATGGCTATGCATCAAACAAATATCAGCTAGAAAATATAATCTAATAATTCAAATATTAAACCATTTGCATAACATGCGCCACTGAATTGAACGTTTATTGTACATGGCGGCAATAACGATAGCATCAAAATTGTGATGTAAACCAAATACAGGCACCACAAACATTTAATAAACGTATTAACTGGTGCCGAAGTCGCTGAACGGACTGGTGGCGGCGCAGTGACGAAATCATGAGGCGGCGGAGCTTTGCAGGTAAACGGAGATGAAGGAGATCCGGGTGTCAAAGACTCCATCACGGCATCAACTTTCTAAACAGAATCAAAAACTAAGCAAAAAAATTCCATAAACTCACGTCATTGCATGGATTGCCAAATCCTCTTATTTGCACGCAATCGTCAACTTTAGCCCTAAAGTAGGCATGACTAGAAAGACAGTTAAAAACAAACTTCAAGTAGCTTCCAAAAGACCAGATCAACCATAGATTTGCAAAAGCAACGTAGAGAGCCAGAACCAAGACCGTATCTCAAGAAAAACAACAAAAATCAGCTTTACAGAAACGGATGCCGAGATCTTCTTGGCTTCTATATAGAGATCTTTGCAATCACCCCTAAAAATTGAATTATTTTAACATAACAATCATCAGAACTTACAAAACACCGTTGATGCACAAAAGTGTCGCCAAAAGGCTCAAAAAACCAATTGCGTCAAAAAGCTGAAAGTAAAAGCAAAATTTTTCGAATACACACAAAAACCCACTTCGTAAAAGCGAACACGAGCCGTCAAGTAATTTTCACAAACGGCCCAGAGCAACAAAACGAGAGAGATGACGCTGGCACAAAAGTTAAGTACCTACGTTAAACTTTTAAAAATACACCGTTTCATCGGCACAATGATTTTTGAGGGCGATCACGATGAACAGACTAGGCAGATTAAAGACAAAAAGTACCCACAACGCAATCTAAAAAAAAATTTCAAAAACTCAGGCACATCTTTACAAAAATCTGTAAACGCATTAACTCTTTTGTCTTGCTTTTCGAGTCACCGAACAGTCGGGATTATTTACATTCTTTCAACTACAATTTGAAAAAACACTGCCACACTTAGTCATCTAATTCATGGCAAATCAATTTCAATAAATTTTACCTTCATCAAAAGGAAGCGGATTTCAAATCGAACCAAATCCTCTGCTCGACCATTACGAGGATACACCACCATCTTGTTATCCGAGATCTCGATTTCTTCGAATACCAGAATTGTCAACTTTTCCAACCCGAATACTCGATTTATGTCGTAAGTACAACAGATTCAATCCAAGTTTTCAGTGCTTTATGAATATTAGAGTGAGTAATACCCTTTCTACATATAAGTTGCTCTTTTCCGAAAGCTAATTTACTCGTAACCACATAGTTTTGAAACCAATGAATGAGTAATTGAAGCTGTCCAAATTCTACAGCGTTTAGAGTACTGTAAATTTCTGAAAAGAGGTGCATCACTGAGTTTTAAGTAAGTGCATCACTCAAGAGAAACTACAGGGTGAGGCAGAATTATGAAAACTCAAGTTTTTGAGTCTAACTCAGCTCTCGATGCCCCAAATCAAATAATTCTTTTTGGCTAGTATATTCTGCTTTAGGAAAAACAATATTGGACAAAGGCAACTGTTTCCTAAAAGTTCTGATAATTATTCAAAGTGCGCGCGTCGGGAATTCCCGGCCGGATGGTGATATTTCACGATTTTCATAGCTGGCTAGATACAAATTTCCGTAAGAAAAGAATTGTTTCTTTGATTGAATTTCAATGTTGCATGACTACTTCTTAAGCATGTTCATTTTTTTGGGCAATCGTAATCATAAATAGAATCTAAGGACGATTCATAGTTGTTCGGCCGGGAATTCTCGACGCGTGTACTTTGAATAATTATCAAAACTTTTAGGAAACACTTACCTTTGTCCAATAATGTTTTTCCTAGAGCAAGTAACTCAGAATATACTAGCAAAAAAGAATTACTTGATTTGTGGCATCGAGAAATTAGTTAGACTCAATAAATCGATAAAATTACCATAATTATGCCGCAGCCTGTAAAATGGGGGACTCCGCACCCACCTTTGCGTGAAGGGAAGGAGGCGAGGGCCCACGCTTAACCTCCAACCCATTCCCCAATGCAAGAGGACTTTAGTGAAATTTGTATCAAAGTTGAACTACTTATATACAGAAGTCAATCAAGTTCAACACTTGATAACTCGAGGTATAGAAATTGAATCAATTTATGATTGGTTTTAAAAGAGTCCTCATTAAATTTGACTAAAGAAAAGTGAAATTCGTTTTGTATACTCTTTGATAAAAACATAGAGAAAAATAGTCTTGAAGAGTAGTGCGCTGAGGTGCCGTTTTTCTATAGTTAAAATGGCACTTTAGCGCACTTTTCTATTTTACTCTATAATTCAACTTCCAATTATCAAATCGACTTAAGGTTGGGCTTTAAAAATTAAAAATTGAAAAATTTCGACTTTAAAATGATCCTTAGATGGTCTATAACTCGAGGTATAGAAATTGAATCAACTTATGGTTGGACTTAATAGAATGCTCATTAAATTTGACTAAAGAAAAGTGAAATTTGTTTTGTATACTCTTTGATAAAAACATAGAGAAAAATAGTCTTGAAGAGTAATGCGCTAAAGTGTTAGCCACCAGTGTTAGCTACCTCCACCACCAGATGTGTATAAATGGGACAAATAAATCAAATTAAGAAGCTGGTGGAGGGGAGTCCTTCATGTAAGAGGAACTCACTTGTGATTATGATTTTTTAGACAAAAGCCGTAAAACGCTTCTTTTTCGAAGTTGTCTCTTTGGAGAATGGAGTCATTTACTTATTGGGCGATCAAGACCGTAGTGGTCAAAGTCTTTGTACACCATTTTATGTCTCGGATAATATCACGTGAGTGTACACTCTATTAGTGATCATTTAAGAAGGGCAGCTGAAAAATCCTGAAAAATTTCATTTTTTCAACCATTTTCCTATTAATTGGAAAACCATGGAAAGTTACCACCGTATTTCCTGTATTATAAATCCCTACTCGAATAGTAGCCCTATTGTTTCTTCAAAAATAAGGATTTTAATTCTCTAGCCGCTCCAATTCATTAACCCTTTTTTGTGCTTGAAAAAGTGTGAAAATAAAAGCTTTCCCGTCTGGCTCAAAAGATGTTTTGTAGAGAAAAGATAAGGTTTTCTTATCTTTGGAACCACTAGGGTTTACGATTAAATTGGGTCGAAAGTGCCTCTTGAAAGAATATTGGCATTTCATGTGCATTAACCCTATAGAAGTTGTCTTTTCTGAAATTTTCAGCGTTTTCTTTGTGATTTTTGTTTGTTACAAGGAAAAGAATCTATAAATTCATTTGCCTTAAAGGGGGAGGAACCTGTAAAGGCAGATCTCCTCAAAAACTTTTTTTTCCGGAAAACCCTATAGTTTTGTTTTTATATTATTAAAAATAGTTCAAAAACATCAAAGTCGATCCTTGGAGTCTGGAATCAGGAATTCAAATTTGTCTATTTTTGTGTCGATTTTTTGTGCTCTTTTGTGCCGATTTCTCTAAATAATTGTCAAAACCGTAAATCGATTGGTTTATTTTACGTGAAGAATGAACGCTTTTCATTTGAGTCTCAAAAGCTGGGTCCGGTCTATGGGCAAATGTGCCATTGTAAGGAATAGGAAAAAGAGGTTCTTTGCAAAGCATGGACAAATGACTGTATTGTTAAAATCAGAGTAATAGAGAAGCTAGAACACAGAGAGACCCGGGCTCAAATAGCCTTGGATCCAGAGGATCGGGGGAGGGAGATCGGCAGCCGGACCGAGGTGCCTGTGCCCCACTTTTTAGATTGATATGTGATTGTTCTGCTTTCCTATTGTTTTAATGCTATTTTATTCAATGCCTCTTTAGTAATGTAAAATAAGGGTATTCAAGTTCTCCTCCATAGAAGCACACCCCAAAACTATAAAACCACCAACTTCGTAAGTCCATCTAAAATGTTTGATTAATTTTTGGTTCCAGACCGCCAGCCGGATCGACTTTGGTGTTTTTAGACTATTTTTGATAATATAAAAACAAAACTATAGACGTTTCTGGTAAAAATGTTTTTGAGGAGATCCGGTCCTACCGGTCACTTCCACCCTTTAAACTTTTGATCCTTGATACGAGAGAGTGATCGGGCGACTGACGATGAATGGAGTTGTTTCTTTGAAGCACAGCTTTGTCAACTGTTTTAGCAACGGAATTCGTCTAATCAATTGAAGAATGTGCCGTCGATATGGATCATACAAGCTCAAAAGAGCACTCGATCCAAATAAACCGTGAGAAGACAAAAGAGCAAAAAAGAAGTTGTTTACTTCTGAAAAAGTTTGATGGAAAAATTCGCTTTTAAATTGTCACTCAATTAAATTATTGATCCTTTTTACCTTGATAGATAACGTCTAATTGCATGAGAGTAATGATCGCGTAATAGATCCAGGGAAGGCCGAGAAGGGTCGTTGGGACAATGATCTGGAAAAAGTTAGCTTTTTTGTTTCTATTTTCAATCAACTTCAATAATTTAAAGTAAAACTTTGCAAAACGTTGAACATACCGTAAATACTGTAATAGTACCCCCGTCGTAGTCGCAAAAGTTTTCTCGTATTTCTTTTTTTTGAAAGCGCCCGTACTTTCAAAAAATGCGTCTTTGGTATCAAAAAATAGCTGAAATTCAGGGCTATTTTTTGATACCTAAGCGCGCATTGTAGCGTAAACCAGTGTCGAGAAAAACTTGTTCAAAGTTACACCGTCACCGTCATTATGGGGGTGGGGTACTATTACAGTATTTACGGTAAGCCTGCGAAAAGCTCACGGGCACGCGACGCGAAAAGTTTTTTCGAGAATCCAAAGGAAAATTCTGTTGACTTTTCTGAGAGCCTCAGAAGCTCTCAAAGTCAGAGTTTCTTGTTCCTTTTTATTAATCATTTTTCGCTCTCCTTTTTTGGCAATTAAAATGTTTTTGGTCTGATTGGCATTTACAAAAGAAGCTGGAAAAAGTTCACTCACCAAAACGCTCAATGCGGCAAAAAATTTCCTCTGCATTTGTTTCGTTCGTTCACTCATCTTTTTCTCGCCGTCCACGATCACGCGATTACACCAAACAAAAATGATAAATGTCTAAATGGAAAATGAATGCAAAAATGCATGTCACATATTCTCGAAATACAATATTTGGTTGTAAACTCGATCAAAAATGAACTGAACTCTACACTCATTGCTCATTTCATTTTTCATTTTTTTTCTGGCGACGGATTGGAGGAGTTCCGCGACCTTTGAGCGGTCGAGAGAGTCGAGAGAGTTTGAGCGAGATCTCTTTTAAGAAGACGATTTGAATGGAAACAATCAGGGAACAATGGATGCGGATTTGATTGAAAGCAAGGAGTTGGAGAAGAAAACGATCGACATCAAGACGGAACTTGATGTTATGAAAATCGACACTTCTTGCTACAATTAAGAATGCTATTCATTCGGCTATTCTTACCGCTTTTCCTCGTCTTCGAGGATGTGACACCGATGACTGGCCATAAAGAACACGATTGAACCGACTCGACTCTTGTAGACTTTAGTGAACAGATTAGACTGATGTAGCTTGATTTTTAGAGCCTATATGATCCAAAACCAACCGACTTTCTGGCTGGACGTTTTGTCACCGTGGCGAGGTCGGGAGCGTCCTTGTCCACAGCGCACAAGGCCCCGGTTCGATTCCCGGATCTTTCACGCAACTTTGGTTTTTTAAAAACTTTTTTGAAATGGCATAACTACAATATATTCTAAGGTTTTCTAAAGAAGTTTTAGAAAAAATTACTCAAAACACGGCCGAGAAAATGCTCGTACAGACAGACACTGTTCTTTTATATACCGTATTCTCTCTAATAGTAGAGCACCTTGAGCGTCGCCTAAATTGCTCAAAATCTCAAAAACTGCTTATCAGAACCTATCGAGGTGGGGTCGGGAAATGTAGCTGACGATGAGATCTTGCAGGGGATTAGAGTGTTGAGCTTCCGCGAAAGCTTGGGAACTGTAAAATAGTCAGCAACTCGGCTCGGCGGGGTGCACTACTCGGGGGGTGCGTTAGAGAGACTAAAGAGACACTACTATTAAAGAGAATACGGTATAGTAGATCTATCACGGTATAGTCGATCTATCAAACGCAAGTTTAGCTGAATGTTGCACATTTAATTCACATTTTTAGCTGTACGATGAACAGCTTTTTAGCTGTACGATGACTATTTGATTGACTGAAAATCTTAAAATTTTAGAGTACAAACCAATTAACGAGAAAGAGATGACGAAAACGATGATCAAATCGTGAAACTTGTCCCAAAACTTTCCAAAAACGAACATTCGACAAGTTTTCAAGTATCGTTAAGCATTTTTCCTTAATTTTTTGACTTGAAAAGCTGAAAAGAAAAGAAGTTTTGTCTTTGCAAAAGCCGGTTATTAGTGTGTGATTTTATGTGAAGAACAGAGTTTCTTTTGAAGTCATTTTGTTGAAATTCCTGGAAAGTGACCAATTTTATTTTTGGATTCACTAATTAATCACAAAGAAATGAGAATTACTGTAAAAGTCAAAAAGAGTCTTCATTGAGATAATTGCTAACAAATAAACTAGAGATTCAGAAGCATTTCTGGTTTTGTTATCATAGTTTTCAAAAAAAGATTTGCTACAAAAAAAAATTCTGCAACGAAAATCTCTTGAAGGCCGCTCAAAATGACTCATTTGATTTACGAGAAGTGGTCTCTTTTTCTCTTCTTGGTCTCTTTTTCTCGAAATTCAAAGTCACTACGAATTCCATATGTTTTACAGTACTGGACAATGAAATATGATATTTGAAAAACGATCGTCACTTTCGCGCGTCTGTAACTCCCTTGTCTTTGAGTTTAAACTATTAGTGTTATATATTTTCTGAAAGCTCTTTTCAAGGGCTACACAATGATAATATTAATATTTAGAAATACGGTAAAGACAAGGAAGTTACAGACGCGCGAAAGTGACGATCTTTTTTCAAATATGATATTTCATTGTCCAGTAGTGCAGGTACTTGAGTAGACTTCAAAGCTGTTCCCGTAAATGCTCTAATAGAAAGCCACTCTCTCGTAAAATCACGTCGCAAATCCGCGGGCATACGCGCTCCGCCCCTTTTTCCATTGGCTAACTTGCCAAAGTAAAGCAAAAGTCAGACATTATGTTTTTGTTTTGTTTTTGTTTTGTTTTTGTTTTGTTTTTGTTTTGTTTTTGTTTTGTTTTTGTTTTGTTTTTGTTTTGTTTTTGTTTTGTTTTTGTTTTGTTTTTGTTTTGTTTTTGTTTTGTTTTTGTTTTGTTTTTGTTTTGTTTTTGTTTTGTTTTTGTTTTGTTTTTGTTTTGTTTTTGTTTTGTTTTTGTTTTGTTTTTGTTTTGTTTTTGTTTTGTTTTTGTTTTGTTTTTGTTTTGTTTTTGTTTTCTTTAGACTTTCGATCAACACTTTTGGTTTTTAAAATCTCTAGATGACCTTTTCCAGATGGAGATTTTATGTTTAGATAATGCAAAAGGCCATCAAAAAACCCTAAGCTATGTATTAGAGTGTGTTCCTCTCGAGTAATTCGTTTTCTAAAACGCACACTTGGGAAAAAATTTTTCCTTTTTTTCTCGAAATTCAAAATCACTACGAATTCCATATGTTTTATAAGGGAAATGCAAAGAAATTTTTGAATGAATTGTAGAAAATAAATAATCGTTTAAACAGAAAGGGTAAATTTTAGCAAAGTGAAGTAGTCTTTAGTTTGATGTTAGACTCAAGACGGAGCACGAGCACGAAAAAATGGAAATCCTCTTTCATTCTAGAGTTAAATAAATTTGCGTCAAAAGAAAACTCAATTCGTCAAAAACAAAGAATCACACTGTAATCTAACAGATTAAACTCTAAACCTAGAAGTTTAGATTTACGTTATTCAAGAACAACAAGGTGATGATGTCTGACCGTGAGACGGAGATCTCTTATTTCGACCTTCTCTGTCATTTGACTGGGCCGGTCTCGAGATGATCAAGAAATCGTTCAGAGAACCAGTGGAAACTATGTTAAATCTTTTATCAAATACTGCCGGCAGCTGCCGTGAAAAGCTCGAATGAATTGCAGAAATAAAATAGTAGACAATAGAAGAGAAGAATTGAAAGGATTCCAAGAATTCTTTCAAGGAGGGAGAGTTATGTCTGAAAATTAGTTAGAATAGAATCTAGCGTTTAGAAGAGTCTTGGAGTTTAATGCAGGTAAAAATTTGTCAGATCTGTTGTCATGTTCTGTCCACAGACAAAAGAACTAAGCATCATGATCGACTTAATCGGGATAAAAATAATGGGAAAATAAAAGTGGTCAGAGATGAAAGCAGCGGACAATTCAAAACATCATTGCCAAGAGAAAGCACAAACTCCAACAATAATGATTATCAATAAGTAGAGAATTTCATCATTGGAGCTATTTTCTTTGTAAGAAAGCGTCGGATTGGTGAAATTTCTTGGTTGAAATGCTGCCATTCTGTCGATTTCAACTTTAAGCATACATTCCCCCAATTGGTTGGCTTTGAGTTTCCAGGAGGCCTAAAAATACAGTAAAGTTGGGGAAGAGTTATTCTCGCTTACCGATATTCCTTGAACATTCGTTTCAATGTGTTTCCCTGTTAGATTATAGTCTTTAGTCAGGCTAAAAGTTAACCGTTTTACCGTAAGCGTTTTACCGTAAACGTTTTCAACAAACTTCATAGGTTTCCATTGTCCAAAAAGATTCAAGAATTCAATCTTCAACTTTCCATCACCAGTCGCCATTGCATCGATTGCAATGTTGATGGGAAACGAGTCTAAAGAAGCTTAAGCGAATCTAAAGAAGCTTGTTTAGAAGCTTAAGCGGTACTTATCTGTTACACCTCCATCTAGACATGGTTTCAAATCGGATTGAAATGAATCGAATCGGATTTTATTTGATCGACTGATCGGTCAATCGGATCGGATTCGATTCGATTGATCTGTCCATCGAAACAGAACACGGAATTCGATTGATCTGTTCATCCGCTCCGACTCAATTCGATTAATCTATCGATCGGTGAAGTTAAATTGGAAATGAAGTGGTGACAGGGATATCGACTAAAGAACACTAAGGTTACGGGCTGGAACACGTTTTAAACCGCTCTAAAGCGTGCGCCAAATTACCGTAAACTTAAGTGCATTTTTACGCTCGATAAAAGGCGAGACTTTTCTTTGTTCCACACCATTTTTATTATGTATTGTCAAACGTTATAAACAAATTGCGTCCCTGCAATACGCAACAAATTGCTCAGTAGATACATTGCTTTAATACAGTAGCCAGTGAGCTAAAAAGCCTAACAAAATCTTTTAGTTGTTGGGCTCCGATTGGGCTCCGATGACTTCCCAATCGGTTCGGATTCGATCTGATTGACCTGTCAAATGGTTCGAATTTGATTCGATTCGATTCGATTCAATAGACTCAGCAAACGAATCCATTCGATTCGATCTGATTCAACTTCGATTCAAAACCATGTCTACCTTTACCACCTACTCATTTCTAGTCCCAGCCTAGATGAATTAGCATACAAATTTGAACGCATACGACTAGCATAAGCATAACTCTTTTCCGTTTTACCCCGTCAGTCAAATTTTTAAAAAACGCATAATAAATGCGTTATCGAAAGGAGAACTGATTCAAAGTCGGCAATCGTTTGGTCCTCGATGTTTGGTCCTCGATGTTTGGTCCTCGATGTTTAGGAGAACGAACAAGTTACGGGAAAATAAAATAGAAAATAACACTTCCATTTAGAGAACCTAATGGTGTGAATACTGTATGCCAGTTGCTATAAATTGAAATTGAAATTTTTGAAGTCAAATTGGAAATAAAGAGGTGACAGGGATATAACGAATAAGTACCGCATAAAGCTTCCACTAAATTCAACTCACCACAAATCACTCTTTGTGTAAAACTTTCGGTATCTACAAACGAGTAGACCTCGGCGCGGAAGTGGTTTGGGTTCCCAAATCCCCGCGACATCATGAATGTACGACCTCGACAGAGTTGCTGGGTGATGTTGGGTGGGCGATAGGTTGTCGATGCAAGCGACATCGTTTCAAGCGCTAGACTTGGGGCACACCCAGCCGGTATGTGAATACTGTAGAGTCCACCAAGGAGAATTGGCTCGAAGAATGGGTCCAAATCTCTAAAAATTTATAAAACTTATCTTAAAGGGGTAAGGTTATCCGCTCAATTTGGAAATTGATCGATCACGATCCCAGATTTTTGCCTAATTTTCCCTATCCAGACCGCCAAAAATTTGCAACAACCTGTTAGATTCAAAAGCCGTTTAAAAGCCAATATGTTTGTACAAACTTGTTAACCAAGATAAATATAAAATTATCTTATAAAATAGCCGTTTTAACTGAATGCTAGTCGAGTATCTACTATATATAAAAGAGAAGTGTCCGTCCGTCCGTCACACTCCGGATCTCCACATGAAGCTATTTCGACAAATTTTTTTTTTGATCTATAGGATTTTTTGATCTAAAAATGAATAAGTACATACTTTTTGATCAAACCACTTAGCCATGCCACCTTTTTGCCTTCGGCGGCACTTGGAACGGGGATCGTGGTCGACGTGGTTAACGTCCTACGTACAAAACGTACTCCGTTTCGACGTACAAAATCGAAGTACAAAATCGACGTACAAAATCGACGTACAAAACGACTGCCCTCAGGAGGTGTCGGCTTTAACTCCCGTCCGTTCCAAACTTTTTTGCTTTAGATTTTTTCAAGCATGGAGTTGAAGTATGCAAATATAAGTTGCGTTTGAGTTACAAATTTGAGTTGAGCGAAGGTATTGTTCTAGGGGTCTCGGAGGGACGCGAGGCGCGATGTTAGGTGCGCGAGGCGCGATGTTAGTCGCGCTATTGACATTTATACTGGGATGCTTGGCACGACTATCCCAGTATAGATGTCAATGGTGCTCCGGAGGGTACCAGGGTTGGCTCCGATACTGCTTTGAAGCATTAAGTTATAGATTCCAGTATTGTTACAGGGATCTTGGATGGGCGCAGAAGGGAAGGGGACCCTTTAACTTGAGAGACCAAACTATGCGTTAGCCCCAAAACACCCAGCCAGAAAAACCCGCTGTCAGACGGGTTTTTCGGCTGGTTATTCAATAGTTTTAAAGCTTATTGATCACTTAATTTAACAAAGCAAACGTAGGCAGTCAAAGGCAATTTAACCGAGTTCGATTTCACAAATTATTTTCCCAATCGCTGCCGTTCGTTAAATCGAGCGTCGACTGTACCCATAACTATGAAGTAGACGTTCTGAATGTTCGACATATCCAGCTGGTGATCCGGCGATTAATTTATAGTTGCAGAGTTGACTTGGGCGATCCTGGAAATGGCACAAATTGAATTGGAAATGGCACAAATTGAATATTATAGATCCAAATAGATTTACCCATCGAAGTTTTTGTAGTAAAGTATACGAATTAAAGACGGATGCCAAAGAGAGCCATGTCGCCCTATTCGACGCTTCGATACGAAACTTTTGCTTTTGCTCTGTGTATATGGAAAGTAATCGGAAATTCTCTAAGCTTTTAATTAAATGAAATTCTCATTTTTGGCAAACCGGAAAACACGGTTTCTTTGGTTCGAAAGGCGAGCACTCCATCGGCTATATAACTGTTAAACTCCACTCGATCCAAATAGATCACTCCACCAGCCTCGAGTTGAGATTTCAATAGAACCGAGTTGTTGTCAGCCGTAAATCTGAAAGCTTCATTTGTAAAAGCTCAGCTTCAGAAATGTACTATCCGTCGTCAAATTCAGCTTTTAAAATAATAAAAAAAAACTATTCAACACTGAATATTCTTATACACGTTTGTAATTATAGCAAATTTGTGTTAAATTTAAGGCTTTACAAGCTTTACAAGCCAAGATTAAGTCAACGTAATTTAATCGACTCTAGGTGGAGTAAAAAGTATTCAGCTAACTAGGCTAATCGTTTCTTTAAGTTCGACCTATTTCTTTAATTTAAAAAATAATCAATTCAGACGAATAATGTTGGAGAAACAATACACAAGCACAACCCGAAAGCCCTAAATATAGGGAAGAAAAAACCCATATACCGTCTCCTCTCTAATAGTAGTGCACCCTGAGCGTTGCCTAAATTCCTCGAAATCTCGAAAAGCGTTTATCAGAACCTATCGATGTGGGGTCAGAAAATGTAGCTGACGATGAGATCTTGCAGGGGATTAGAGTGTTGAGCTTCTGCAAAAGCTTGGAAACCGTAAAATAGTCACCAACTCGGCTCGTTGGGGTGCACTACTATTAAAGAAAATACGGTAACCACGTTTGGTTGAACGGCATCCTAGTTCATCTTTAAGACGTCTTCATTAAGACGGAGGCTTAATGGAAAAGGCAGGAGCAGAGGTGGCAAAAGGGTCCCTCATCCTCATCCCAAAAAATTTATGATGAAGTAGTCAAAGTTCAAAAGCGCCCAATGACTCCATGTCTTTTTGTTAGGTAGATTTCTTGGGTATCCTGTAATCAGTCATACTCTAAGAGACTAAGACAAGAGATTTAAAAGCTATAGCTTTGCCCTAGCAAGCTACCGTAATCTGTTTCGTATAACCGACTGTTATCGAAGATCAGAGTTGAGCTGGACTACTGAGTTATCAGCAAATAGGCTATTCGCTTTTGCCAAATAGTTCTATTATCTATTACATTTTCTCCCATTCGTCGATGACCGGATAGTCGCCATTAATAGCAAAAGGAGAGATATCCAAGGCCAAACACGATTCCTAGAATTGTTTCAATTTTTCGATCCGTTTACAGAAAACGTACCAAGTTCTGTATGGGACAGCGAAGGCCAATGTCGACGGTGATTCTACATTCAGGTAATGAACTGCAGTAGCTTAAAACACAGATCGGCGAAACTTCAACTAAACATTATACGATGAAACTTATTTACTTTTTTATTTATGGAAGATAAAGAAGCTCCAATCTCCAATCCAAGCTCTAAAAAATCTAATCCAAAAAACCCGGTCAAGCTTCCTCAACTCCCGCTGGGATCAAACTCCTATGGAATGCCATTTATAAAATCGGTTCTTTGCTGCTAACAGAAGGTGGATATAATAGGGGAAACATTTAAGCGGGTTGGGGAACCAACTGAGGCAAACTCAGGGGACAGGCGCATGTAACAGGGAGTGCATACTATAATTAGGATTCCCTCGGATCGGTACATCTGCGGTGCCTTGAGCCTACAGTGCCTGCCTGCCTACTGTATAGGACTACCCTAACCATGCCAAAAAGCTTCCCCTCAAACAGGAAAGCATCGGAAATTTTAGTCCAAAGTCTGACTTGCATCAGTTTTCTGGCCAGGGGGTCTGGTCTGTCCTTGCCCTTGAGTTCCTCAGATCTTGGCTGCCAAGAGCACTATTATCGATGTCGGGATACATCGTACATATACTATTACTATTGGCAAGACCCAAGGGTTCTTTAAACAAACGTCCTGCTTTCTCGACAGCCTCCATCGACAGAATGGCTTGTGGCTCGTCTATTGTGAGGGTGAAATATTTTCCACATTCCAGCGTATCCTTGGGTCTTATCGGCGGCATTCCCATTTTGGCCACAAAACCGAACCGGTTGCTAGTCAGTGGTTTGTCGGGACAGAAGACCACCTAATTAAAAAAGATCATTTTGTCTCGTAAACGAGGACAAACTTGAACACATTCAAAAAAGAGCTCAAAGTATTGTAGCGTGCTCACGGTGATGCTAAAAAAATTCTGAATCAAGGCAAATATCCAGGATAAATCAGTATGGCATGAAAAATGATCTTTTTGATGATCTAAGTCGTCTGCAACGCTGTTTACTTACCGTAAATTCTGTAATAGTACCCCACCCCCATAATGACGGTGCGGAGTGTTGCGTAGTCTAGCTTTGAACGAGTTTTTCTCGACACTGGTTTATGCTAAAATGCGCGCTTAGGTATCAAAAAATAGCCCTGAATTTCAGCTATTTTTTTGCTACCAAAGATGCATTTTTTTGAAGTACGCGGGCTTTGAAAAAAATGAAATACTAAAAAACTTTTGCGACTACGCGACTGTACGAGGGCGGTGGGGTTCAATTACAGTATTTACGGTAAGTGTTTTCAAAGCATAAGCCCATAAAGGAGATTTTTTATGTTATTTTTTGTTTCTCGAGCATAACTTTTTGAAAATTCAATATTTTTTTACTTCGGATCGGTTTTATTTTGTAGCACTAAGGATTTTAATTCTCTAGCCGCTCCAATTCATTAACCCTTTTTTGTGCTTATATAGCTAATAATGGTTTTTCTAGGTAATTTGAGGGTGTCGAATTCAAATTTTGACATAACAGAGCGTGTGGAACCAATTTGAAAGACAAAACGGCTAGATCAAATTACAGAAAATTGTCGATTTTTCTCTTTGTATAACTCCGTCCGTTTGTTTCCACAAGCTCTGAAATGTCAAAATTTCGATCCTACGCCCTAAGATTACCTAGAAAAACAACTTTTGGAATAGAAATTGGTTAATATTAGCTTTTAGAGCTTTTTTAAAACGCGAAAAAAGGTGCGCTAATGGGCTAAGTGCGGAAAAAAAGGTGCGCAAATGTCCGGGTGCGCAAAAAAAAGGTCGCATTTGTCCCACTCCAAAGTTTTAGCTATATAAGCACAAAAAAGGGTTAATGAATTGGAGCGGCCAGAGAATTAAAGTCCTTATTTTTGAAGAAACAATAGGGCTACTATTCGAGTAGGGATTTATAATACAGGAAATACGGTGGTAACTTTCCATGGTTTTTCAATTAATAGGAAAATGGTTGAAAAAATGAAATTTTTCAGGATTTTTCAGCTGCCCTTCTTAAATGATCACTAATAGAGTGTACACTCACGTGATATTGTCCGAGACATAAAATGGTGTACAAAGACTTTGACCACTACGGTCTTGATCGCCCAATAAGTAAATGACTCCATTCTCCAAAGAGACAACTTCGAAAAAGAAGCGTTTTACGGCTTTTGTCTGAAAAATCATAATCACAAGTGAGTTCCTCCTACATAAAGGACTCTCCTCCACCAGCTTCTTAATTTGATTTATTTGTCCCATTTATACACATCTGGTGGTGGAGGTAGCTAACACTGGTGGCTAACACTTTAGCGCACTACTCTTCAAGACTATTTTTCTCTATGTTTTTATCAAAGAGTATACAAAACAAATTTCACTTTTCTTTAGTCAAATTTAATGAGCATTCTATTAAGTCCAACCATAAGTTGATTCAATTTCTATACCTCGAGTTATAGACCATCTAAGGATCATTTTAAAGTCGAAATTTTTCAATTTTTAATTTTTAAAGCCCAACCTTAAGTCGATTTGATAATTGGAAGTTGAATTATAGAGTAAAATAGAAAAGTGCGCTAAAGTGCCATTTTAACTATAGAAAAACGGCACCTCAGCGCACTACTCTTCAAGACTATTTTTCTCTATGTTTCTATCAAAGAGTATACAAAACAAATTTCACTTTTCTTTAGTCAAATTTAATGAGGACTCTTTTAAAACCAATCATAAATTGATTCAATTTCTATACCTCGAGTTATCAAGTGTTGAACTTGATTGACTTCTGTATATAAGTAGTTCAACTTTGATACAAATTTCACTAAAGTCCTCTTGCATTGGGGAATGGGTTGGGGGTCAAGGGCCCTCGTTTGGGCCCTCGCCTCCTTTCCCCCACGCAAAGGTGGGTGCGGAGTCCCACATCCGCGCGAAATAAGGCGAAAAATCGTTTTCTATCCGTTTTCGACGTTAGAGTATCCATTCAACGCAGAAAAATGTGCTGATTTCAATGGTGAAAAAATTATCAAAATCCGTCTGATACATTTTTTAAAAATCGCGTTTTATCGAAAAAATCGCACTTTTACAAGCAACTCGCTCGCAGCGACCAACTTTTGGCGGCTCGTTTTCAGCGTGGTCGAAAGATTGCGCCCTCAAAACCGATAACTTTTGTGTGGACGTTTATAAAGATCATTTTGAGACCAAAAAAATAAAAATTGATCAACTCTGCGAAGACTTGATGCCTTTTTAAGTTGAAAATGACGTCTTGCGACTTTCTGTCCGCTAAAACGTGGGCAATCGCCAACAACCTATTTAAAGCAGCCAGACATTTATATTATTTTATTTGAATTTGTCCTTTTGGACTAGTCCCCCCATTTTACAGGCTGCGGCATAATTATGGTAATTTTATCAATTTATTGAGTCTGACTAATTTCTCGATGCCACAAATCAAGTAATTCTTTTTTGCTAGTATATTCTGAGTTACTTGCTCTAGGAAAAACATTATTGGACAAAGGTAAGTGTTTCCTAAAAGTTTTGATAATTATTCAAAGTACACGCGTCGAGAATTTCCGGCCGAACAACTATGAATCGTCCTTAGATTCTATTTATGATTACGATTGCCCAAAAAAATGAACATGCTTAAGAAGTAGTCATGCAACATTGAAATTCAATCAAATAAACAATTCTTTTCTTACGAAAATTTGTATCTAGCCAGTTATGAAAATCGTGAAATATCGCCATCCGACCGGGAATTCCCAACGCGCGCACTTTGAATAATTATCAGAACCTTTAGGAAACAGTTACCTTTGTCCAATAATGTTTTTCCTAAAGCAAGTAACGCAGAATATACTAGCCAAAAAGAATTATTTGATTTGGGGCATCGAGAGCTGAATTAGACTCAAAAACTTGAGTTTTCATAATTCTGCCTCACCCTTTAGTTTCTCTTAAGTGATGCACTTACTTAAAACTCAGTGATGCACCTCTTTTCAGAAATTTACAGTACTCTAAACGCTGTAGCATTTGGGCATCTTTAATTACTCATTGATTGGTTCCAAAATTATGTGGTTACGAATACATTAGCCTTCGGAAAGAACAAGTTATGTAGAAAGGGTATTACTCACTCCAATACTCATAAAGCACTGAAAACGTGGATTTAATCTGTTATACTTACGACATAACCAGAGAATTCGGGTTGAAAAACTTGACAATTCGGGTATTCGATTGGATCATCGAATGACCACGGATAGTTGTACGAAGTGATGTAGGCCAAATGATCTAGTTGATTAGGTTGCCGCAGGTTACCGGATGCTAGGAAGTATTTCTTTTTCTCTAGTTCTCAGTAGACGCAAACCGGTGGCAGCATGAGAGGTAAAGACGACTTTGTAATCACAATTCTCACTTCCATACAGGGTGGTGACGGTGGTTTTCGTGTAGATTTGACTGAAAGATGGGTGAAACTCGTATCTGCATTTCTTAATGGTTATAATAAGCTTTAATTTGAAACCAAATCCAGCTACAGAAAATTGTGAGCTCAGACGCTCGAGAATTGGTTCTTTCCGGTTAACAGGGAGGGAGGATTTTTGCCCTAATTGAGAAACCAACTTATATCGGTACGCTCAAAGGTATACCGTGCAAAAGGCGCATACTGTAGTTGGGATACCCTAGTACACGTGCACTCAATACTAGATCTGGTTTTCGAATCGAATTGAATCGGTTTGGTCTAATTTCGAACCGGATCAATCCAATTCAGAGGAAGATGAGAGCGCTCTTCAGGGAGAAATTTGGCCATTTGACGATGCATCCAGTAACTTTTTTTAACTTCTATTCTGAAAGTTCTAAGTTGTTCAAATTTTGCCAATTCTTGTCACTTTTTATTAAACTATTGTTCCATTGTTGTTTTTATTTTATTGTTAGGGATATTTTATTAATTGTTGGCCAATCGTTGTTGCATTAAAGTTAACCGATAAATTTGTTGATTTAAAAAGAAAAGGCATCTAAAAAATTCTATAGCAGACTGAAATGTGATGTCAATTCGAATGTGTGTCTCAAAATTAAATGTTAATTTGTTTTTGATAAATGATAATTTTTGACGCTACGTTGTGTTCCTATTGGCTCCATCGTCACGTCGTTGCGCCGCGTAATCGCTCTTTTTTAACTCCAAAATCATTTTTCTTGTCAGTTTTTATTTTTTAAGCGTTAATAGTTGATGATTTTCGTAAATTTTAGATTTCTAAGCGTAGCTAATTGATAATTTCTGTATATTTTAGAAATGATGCATCTACGACCCTCGGACGTTTGGCATCATTTCGAAACAAAGGACTAAAGCATCGTCTGCAGCCATTGCAAGCTGCAGCCATTGCAAGCTGCAGCCATTGCAAGCTGCAGCCATTGCAAGCTGCAGCCATTGCAAGCTGCAGCCATTGCAAGCTGCAGCCATTGCAAGCTGCAGCCATTGCAAGCTGCAGCCATTGCAAGCTGCAGCCATTGCAAGCTGCAGCCATTGCAAGCTGCAGCCATTGCAAGCTGCAGCCATTGCAAGCTGCAGCCATTGCAAGCTGCAGCCATTGCAAGCTGCAGCCATTGCAAGCTGCAGCCATTGCAAGCTGCAGCCATTGCAAGCTGCAGCCATTGCAAGCTGCAGCCATTGCAAGCTGCAGCCATTGCAAGCTGCAGCCATTGCAAGCTTTTCTCAGCTTTCTCAAAGCAAAGAGCTTTCTCAAAGTCTTTAGTCTTTAGAAATTGTGATAGAAAGAAGAAGCATTTTTCCACTCAACCGATAAATTTGCTGACTTAAAAAGAAATGACACCGAAAAACTCCTATAGCGGACCGAAATTCGATTTGAACTTTTTACGTTTTCGGTCGTTTACGTCGTTCGGTCGTTTACGTCTGGACCAAACCGATTCAATTCGAAAAAAAAGCCAGATCGAAAACCAGGTCTACCCCATACTCCAAGCATGACAGAAACCCTTGTTAACAAGAAAACATTCAATATTCATCTTTACCAGCTTTTTTTTGATTAATTGATTTGTAAAAGCTTCCTGTTCCTAACCTAGGCAAGTTATCAGTCTAGTTTTGATTTCAACGAATTTAAGGCGACAAAATAATTTATAATTTGTAGAACACATTTTCTAACTCACGAGTCGAGCGCAATATCCAAAGTCTCATTCCACTTGTGTCCGGGATCCGATCCATAGAACGCCTTATACCTTATCGGATCATAACAAGTGAGATCTGGCTAGAAAATTTTAGTGTTATGTGGTTGTTTAAAATTGGCAAACGATCAAAAAGACATCAGCATCCAAAGATTGTGTTCCCTCCACCAAGAGCTGTAGCATTGAGCCTGTGCCACTTGAAACAAGTAATCTTTTTTTACTATATTTAGAAGTTAAACTAACCTGCTAAGGGTTGGATTCATGACAAAAATGGCCATCGAATTCTGTCGGATTAGGATAGCTTCAGCCCGATAAAATAGGGCGCTGGCCGGAACAACGATGACTGGCATTAACTCTGCAAAAGCTACTGCTTTGACTTACATTAACCGTAATTGCTGTAGCAGAACGCCACACTCAAAAAGTCTAGTAAAGAAATGGCTAACTTTTCGAGCCTCAATGTGGTTTTATGAGTATCAAACCTCTTAATGATGTAAATATAAAGAGGTCGGAATTCACCCTTTAACCACTCCTGAGCCTACCTGTGAACCATTAAGCTTTGCATTTATAACAATAATTAATGAGACTGTTCCTGAAACATTGTACTAACCATCAGACCTGGGCATCGGGTCGGGTCAAAAGTGAACCGCTGACCCGACCCGTGACCCAGCTTTTTTCCCGGGTGTCCCGAAAATTTTGAGCTTAACCCGACTCGTCGACCCAACCCGGCCGCCAAGACTCGAAAATGGACATGTCTACTAACCATTCACCCATTGTTTGACCCGAAACGAAATGGCATAATCGTGGAATCCCTTGTCGGTCCAGCCTCGAACTGTCAGCTGTTCCTGATTCTTTATCACGTAAGAACAGTAGTAAAGCTTTATAAAAGCACTGGGGCTAGAGATCGGGGATTCCGAATCGGGTAGAGAAATCGGCCTGAAACTGTATTGAAAAGGAAAGAAGGAAAAGAAGAAAGGAACTTTCTTTCTAAAAAGGAACACCGAGTGGAAGCCGAGTCCACGGCCTTCTGCTTACTTCTGCTGAGGTTCGCCTTTAAGCTATCGAAGTTATATGAAAAAGAAAAAAACTGGTAATACTTACATCAGTTCACAATGAGGATTAAAGGGTGGTCGGCCATTGATTGTGAATGGATATGAATCATAGCAGAGGATTAGGTTCTTGAGACTCGACTGGTTTTCCTCCTGAAATACCTGATTGCCCCAATCAAGCTTACTTCAAACCCGAATTTCTGAGTTCTTTCCGGCTTTCTCTCAACTTAAGAGAGTACAGTCGACTCTCTCTCTCTATAACGGAACTCTATATAGCCGAAACCTCGAAAGAATGTAATTTTGGTCCCGGCCGACGCTAAGCTATTTTAAATATAAGTAAAACTCTATATAGCGGAATTCTCTATAATAAAGGAAAAATTTGGAACCGTTTATATAACGGCCTCTCTCTATATAACGGAATAGTTAAGGTATTCAGTCATCAAATTGACCAATTTACTGCTAAGCTCTTCAATATTACGTAATATTTTATATTTACATAGTGGCGAAGTATACATACACTACTGGACAATGAAATATCATATTTGAAAAAAGATCGTCACTTTCGCGCGTCTGTAACTCCCTTGTCTTTACCGTATTTCTAAATATTAATATTATCATTGTGTAGCCCTTGAAAAGAGCTTTCAGAAAATATATAACACTAATAGTTTAAACTCAAAGACAAGGGAGTTACAGACGCGCGAAAGTGACGATCGTTTTTCAAATATCATATTTCATTGTCCAGTACTGTATGTATTTAAAAGTTTACGTTTGCTTATTCTTGGTCTTTTTAATTATTTTTCTTTTAATACTTTTGTTTGCTTTAATACTGTCTTATTTTAGGGATGTCGATGAACAAATGAATAATTCTCTCTCTCTCTCGTGCAGAAGGCTCAACTAATCGAAAATAAACGAAGAGAAATATACACGAATGATGAAATCCAAGCCAAGTACGGATTGAAAAAGATCGCTTTTTATGCGATTTTGGCACAAAGCGAATCAATATTAGAAGAAGCTTTGATTTCATCGCCAACAATCAAAAGAGCACGTGTAGCGATGGACGAGACTTTAGAAGAGGCAACTCTATCATGGTTCAAGGAGCAGTGCAGCCGAAATAGTTCGATTAGTTTAACAAAATTGGTACGATTTCATTATTTTTATTATGAATCTATTTTTGGAAATGAATAAAACACGTACAATTATTATTATGTAAAGAACGTCAGAAGGTTCAACACACCCTTTTAGCTTTATGTAATATGTTTTATGATTATATTGGGTTGGTGAATTGAAAACTGCCGGCTATTGTAATATGTGACAGTTTGAGCATTTTCTTCAAAAGAAACCCATTTTGGTGTCAATGGAAAAGTTGTAGAGAATCAAAAATCAAGCTTATATCCAAATTTTCAGAACCATTCAAAAACTGGTTTTCAAGAAATGCCAAATTTACGAATTTTCACAAAGCTTGCATTTTAAGCGAAACTACTAAGTGTATCTTTTTGGAAATTTGGCTATAAGCCTAATTTTTGATTCTCTACAACTTTTTTATTGACACCAAAATGGGTTTCTTTTGAAGAAAGTGCTCAAACTGGGATCTCCATCCTCCTCTCCAGTCCTCCATTTTTGAGTCTCACACTTGTCTCACACACAAACCAAAATCCTACTACGAAAGAGGAATCCGCAAATTGCCTGTAAAATGGGCAGAAGTTGTCAATAATAATGGAAATGATTTGGAATGAATTGATGGTCTTATGTTGAATAAATTTTAGTTCAAAGTCCGGCAGTTTTCAATTCACCAACCCAATAAAGGAAGTTGCATTGCAAAATGCCTGATAAATTTTGGACTTGAAATTCTCTCATGACGGAAACTTCATATAACGGAAAGCTCTATATAACGGAAAATTTTTTTTAGTCCCTTCGATTCCGTTATAGAGAGAGTCGACTGTACTTTAAATATTATTATCATTACTATGCATTAGTGCACTTGCACTAAGCAAATGGTTTTTTTTGTAAGAAGGCGCAATCGGTTATTACATTTGTATTTCCTTTCGAAGCATTTTGGCACTCACGATGTGAGAAATCGATGATGAAGTCACACGATGAACGACCGTAGATTTTTATGGTCTAGATATCACGAGATTCTACGTAACTCTTAACTAAATTAACCCCCAAATCAGCCAATCGAATTCCATGAATAGCAAACGATGGATTTCCTTCGGTTAAAGGAAAGACTCTTTTCGATGATCCCCGAGAGTGGTGGTTGGGGTGGTGGGCGTTGTTGTTGGGGTTGTGGCTGTACAAAAAGTCATTGAGATTATCGGTGCTTTCCTGTTAACAGAGAGAAGGAGACTAAGCAGGCTCAGATAATACCGATCAGATAATGTAACAGAAGGTTCTGTTCTGGGTTCCACAGGGTGACCAAAAAGTTCTGGCATAACTTTTCGTGAAAGCAGCTAACAAATTTCTAACTGATTTCAAAAGTGGTAAGTGTTATATAGGAATTTAAAGCCTAGAATCTTGGCTACATTTCCCTATCAAAAGCTTTCGAATTGGAGTCACACAACTTCAGTGACAAGTTTTTTCGTGAGCACTACTCGGTTTCTTTCAGGTATCTCCATTTTTGACGATTTTTCGTTCAGAAAGGCTTCCCCAAAACAATTTTGTGTTATTCTTGTTCAAAAAATTATATAGGGATTTTAAGCTCGAAATCCTGGCCACATTTACATAGGAAAAGCTATCAAATTGGAGTCGCATAACTAATGTGAAAAGTTTTTGAGTGAGTACTACTCAGTTTTCTAAGCAGAACTTTTCAAAACGTTTAAGCAAGAAAAGTCTAAACACGTTGCTTTCTAGTCTAAACAGGTTTCTTTCTAGTCTAAACCGTCTAAACTTATGAAAATTCAGATCTCTGGCTGTTCGTTTTCGTGAGTAAAAATCACAATTCCATCTTTCCGGCACGCTGCCACTTTTGACAATTTTCTTTATAAAAAATTTTCGTTCCGAAAGACTTCCCCAAAACAACTTTGCACTATTCTTATTCAAAAGAATAATTTCAATGAATTTATAGAGCTAAAACAGCACAGAAATCTGAATTTGAATGCAAATTGAACATAAAAAAACGCTCAGTTTTCGCTTTTTTCCTCAACTTAAAATCAAATTGAATTTTGGTTAGGAAAGTTTGAAAAAACAGTTTGATGTTATTCTTATTGTTATTAAATGATAATAAATATTACATTTTAACGAAAAAAATACCAAAAATCTTTTAATAAGTTTTTTTATAAAGAAAATCGTCAAAAATGGCAGCGTGCCGGAAAGAGACCGAATAGTACTCACTAGACATGGGAAATCGGATAGGATCGGGTCAAAATTGGGTTAGCCCGACCCGATCGGATCCGAAAAATCTTTATTGTCGGGTTTATCTGACTTGAGCCGACCCAAACACTCAGTTTTCGACCCCTTGAGCCGACCCAAACAGTTTTCGGATTGGCCGGATCTGAACCGATCCGACAAAAGCTAATTCTAGTGTCTAGTACGCACTCAAAAACTTTTCACATGAGTTATGTGACTCCAATTCGAAAGGTTTTGCTATGTAAATGTAGCCAAGATTCCGGGCTTCAAATCTCTCTAACACTTACCACTTTTGAAAGAAGTTAGACATTCGCTAGCTGCTTTTACAAAAAGTTGCGCCAGAACTTTTGGATTGTTAGTTAGTTAGGACCTATATAGATATGATTCCCTAGTACATTCGCTGTACCCTGAGCCTGCCTAGGCTCAACCAGACCAAAAACCTTCACCCCCGTCAACAGGAAACCACCAACTTTCATATTTGGCACCTACTCGTAGTTGTTGTTGTTGATTTTCCACTCGGTTCCACCGTGAACCTCGCCAGGCAGCCCGTTGTTTCAAGAGCCGAAGACGGATTGAGCAACCAGGAGAACTTTATTGAAAATTCTTAAATGTATAGATAGTTATAATACTACATACGGCTATGCTCCAAACATCGCCCATGCTGAAAAGGGCAGGAAACTGCGAAGACGCATTGTAGTAGAACCTGGGAATGAATTAACAATCCATTTTTCATTGACTTCAAGTGTGTTCAGCGTTTTTTTAGCGTCACTTACTCTCCATCATCCGTATTTTCATACATGATGGGGTCAAATTTCACATCGAAGTCAATCTCCAGCACATCCCTTTCCACAGTCACCACTTCAACTGTGATTTTGACGTTGTGCAAGCCTGAAAATGCTAGCCAGCTAAAATTGATTGATTGATTGAGAGCCTGAGATTTAGTTTTAAACATTGGAACTTCCAAATATCATAACTAGACTCTTTAAAAATTATCCAAAGAAATTAAAACCGAAAATTGTTATTTACTAAAAACTCACTACATGTGTAAACAGCTTGGAATAAGCTTTCCGCATACGGAACCCCCGTTTCTCCATATCCTGGACTTTGAACAAAGAAATACCCATCACATATTTCTCTGGTGAAGCCATCGGAATCATCTCAAATTTGAAATTTTCGATATTTACCAATCCAATAATGCCATTCAAAACTTTCAAATAAGCACAAACATTTCTGAATTGAACTGATTCCCAGTGTTGGGGAGCATTTTCGCGGAACAAAGACAGCGTATTGACTGGCAGTAAACGATTGTTCGGGGAAATCCGCTTTGGCTCTAAATTGCTTTATTGCTTCACCAGCCCAATAGTATAGTTTCTCCCCCCTCTGCTTCTAAATGAAAATCTTGATCCTCCGCGATAAAGATCCAACTTTTATAACTTTTATTCATACTATAACTTATATTTATACGTAATGCTTTCCAGTAAACTAAAAAAAACAACTTTAACGTTTGATGCCTCGCGCTCTTTCACAAATAACTCGGTTGATTGCTTTTATTGATTATGTTTGATTATGCTTTCGAGGTGTTCATTTTCCCTTAAAAGTGGACTCAAAGTTAACTTTGGAAACCTTGTTTTCAATAAGAGTTGCTTTGTTTCGAGAGATCTATTGACGGGAATTCCACCAGCATAGATCTCATATTCACACTCATCCTAAAAAGAGCAAATTTATGTCAGTTCTTTAAGAAAAGTACCTCTCGGTTTAGGGGCAACATGAATCGATAATAGCCAGTTGGAGTAAATTTCCTCGAATCTTCCCCATCCACTTCTGCACCCAGTGCCCAGAGCACCCAGAAATCAATGTCTCTTGGAGGGATCGCCGCGGTTACTGTTCTTTTTTTATCAATCGTCTCCGAGCTCAAGATGACACTCGGTGTCGCCTCTGAAATTTGTATTCTTTTTTGGAAACTGAAACTTTTATCTTTTATCTTTTATATTATATTTTTGTCTTTGTGTGTCTCAAAATTTTGGCTCTCTTTTCAGTCTAGACTCTCTGGTTTTTGATTCGTAAAGACGTAGGGGTAATCGGGTCGGTAATCGGGAAAACATGGAAAAACCATCAGAATTTTTGATTGGATCAGATTTTGTGGAGCCAAAACATGATTAACGGTCAACCCGCACAAGAATGAACAAAGTGGTGGCAATGGTAAGTTTTAAACGGATTTGTATCGTTAACTTCCACTCACCGTCAAAGAATTTCTCCAATCGAATCGATGCGGTGTAGTAGGGAGTGGAAATGAGCAGCCCAATTTCTTGTCGCATTATCCACCCATTACCCGATATGGGGACACGATAACGACAGCACGTCGAATTGTAGACATTTGTTGGTTGACTAATAGTTTCGCGTTATTTAGCTGCTCGTTAACGCCAACATAGTTGACACTGACATTGTCATAGCTCTCTTGCAAACAGTGCATTTAGTGTCACAAAGTTATTAAAGTGTTACGAAAGGACCAGTGTTATAAGTGTGCCAAAAATTGACGGTAGTAAAAGTAGCTATCTTAGTTGTTGACAGTTAAATATGCATAACCTTGCATCACAGTTAAAAACCTAGCTACTAGTCTTTATTAAAGCCGCCGTCTTTTCTTTCTAAACTACTTTCTTTGATTTTCATTATATGCATACATTGTGGCATTCTCGGGAGCACATTTCACTGGGTCATAAATGTTGTCATTGATCCAAAACCGTGTTTGCTTCTTGTCCGAATAATGAGTCCAACAGAGGTCCACAATAGCCATATCACAATCAGGACAATCGATCACTGGAAGACACGTCTGCTGTTTTGCAGCTTCTAAAAATTTTGTAGATGTCGTAGCCGATTTTGAATGCGTGGCTTCACGGGGTGGTCCAAAATTATAGGCAAAAATATTATAGGCAAAATTTCAGGCATTGACTTTCCAGGGATCACAAAAGATGACTTGGGAACTTTAAAGCATCATATGAAATTGCATATATGGTAGGTAAAATGAGCTGAAACTTTGAGTGAATAAACGCCATGAGAAGCGCAAAGGCTTTAACAAAAGCTAAACAAAAGCTAAACAAAATCCTATTCAGTTTTAATGTTTGTATCTACAGGATGGTCCAAATTTATAGCAACTCGGTTTTTCTTGATTTAACTCAACAGTCTGTCGTTTATTTCGTTTAGGATTTCTTTTAAACTGACACGATCTACAACAACAGAAACTTTTGTTTTGACTGAAACTCTTGTTTTGACTTTTTGTTATCTTTTTAAAGATAACAAAAGCTTTAACAAAAGCTAAACTAAAGCTAAACAAAAGCTAAACAAAAGCTAAACAAAAGCTAAACAAAAGCTAAACAAAAGTTAAACTAAAGCTAAACAAAAGCTTTAAAAGCTCAAATCTGAGTCGCCGTGATCGTCTGGCGACCCAGCGTTTGGTGACAAGAACTGACCGTTTTTCGTGCAAAATTTAGGCAAAGCTCATTCCTCTCTATCTTTTTAGGCTCTTAGAACAGTTTTACATGTATTTTTTTTTGTAAATGATTGTCAAAATCTTGAAAGAAAAGTGCTTTATTTAAAAAAAATAAATCTCATGCAAACTCAGCTGAAAAAACCGCGTTTTGACGTAGTCTTAAAATTGGATTCAAAAATGATAAGCAGAGTTCGGGTTTTGCTTAATTTTCATTGGAAATCAATTAAATAAATGAAAAAAAACTTTGTTTAGTTTTAAAAAGGAAATCTGTAATCGCACTAACGAACCTGGAAGACTAGCGAAAATGACAGAGTCGCCGGGCGGTTAGTGCGTCTCAACTCTCAAGCAACGTATAAAATTAAAAAAAAACGTTTCCAACTAAACGCACCGTTTCTTTCGTAGGAAATCATGTTAATTTCAATTTAAAAAAAACATCCAAAAGAGAATGGATGACTGGGATGCCGAGTTAGGACAGAAAATATCGAGTCGCTATAATTTTGAACCACTCTGTAGGCGCGTCCAACGCGTCCAATCATGTTTGATCGCCGGGGATTGATCTGTTTGATCCAAAGATCATAATAGATCAGCCAGAAGAACAAAAACCTTATAGAAATGATTTGATTTGATTAAAGTAGAATTTGATTAAATTTGAATTTGATTCTTTCGTAGGAAATCATGTTAATTTCAATTTAAAAAAACATCCAAAAGGGAATGGATGACTGGGATGCCGAGTCGAATTTGATTTGTCGGCTTCCAAACAAAATATGATTAAGGAGCTGACTCAAAAATTAAAGAAAAATGACATCTTTTTTGAAATGACATTTTTTTCTTCTTGCTTTTGATGTTATTTATTGAAAAAAACATAAGGAATCTGTAAGATTTTAAGAAAAAAAAACGATTTCTCAAAGACTTTAAATTGGATTTTTCTCAAACGGCTCTCAAAAACCTTAAATTGCGTTTCTCGTCAGGTGTACCGCGACTTTCAACTTTGTAAGGTCATATAAAGATTCTAGAAGCGCCAGATTCAGTTAGAAAATCGGCTTAGCTACAGGAGACATACTGAAAAGTTATCTCCAAAAATTTCATACGGATTCATTGAGTTCTCGCTGAGCTAGACCCTCAGAAATGAGTCGCTATAATTTGAGGTCACCCCGTATACCCAAAGCTAGTGCAAACAAAGAATTGATACTACCATGAAGACACAACAATGTCGCTGATCAGTCCCCTACACAGTGGCAACTCGTCTACCGTTTACACTTTATGGCTTTGATAAACTCACGAATCCAAGATGGATGTAATGTGTATCCGGGTGACTTGAGGCCGAGTGGAAATATCTTCCCACAATTGGTACCCGGAGCGAAAGTTATTGGCGCCCGTGTGGCTATAAAATATGAACATTAAGAGAAAAATTCTATTGACTTGTGTTACTAGTGGTTGTAGTCGTTGTTGTTGTCGTGGTGGTGGTTTTTGTAGTCGTCGTTTGCTCATTTCCACTTAGTTTCATCGAAAATCTCGCTAGGAAACCCATTGTTTCATAAGCCGGAGATTCATCGAGATTCGACCAATCGAACTAGATTTCCACTTTTCAAATAGTTTGATATTATAAGGTAACATTGATTTCTCGAACATTCGCTACATCAAGATAGGCAGGAAAAGTGGAGAGGTTATCGTATCTCATTCTGGAATGATTACGATCATGAATGGACTTGTTAAACATATGACACATACAGTACTGGACAATGAAATATCATATTTGAAAAAAGATCGTCACTTTCGCGCGTCTGTAACTCCCTTGTCTTTGAGTTTAAACTATTAGTGTTATACATTTTCTGAAAGCTCTTTTCAAGGGCTACACAATGGTAATATTAATATTTAAAAATACGGTAAAGACAAGGGAGTTACAGACGCGCGAAAGTAACGATCGTTTTTCAAATATCATATTTCATTGTCCAGTACTGTATGCAAAAGGTATGCAAAAGGGAACTTATGGTCTTATGGTTCTTTTCTTTTAGCGGAAGCGGGTACCATAGTTGGGAAGAACTTAAGCGGGCTCCGTTGGGAGAGAGATACCGTGCATGCAAGAAGGAGTGCATTATTGGATCCATTAATATCTGTGCACACCTCGTAACACAGGCGCGTACCTCGAGGGAACGTTCCAAGGAGGGTGTGAGACTTTTCAACGGTGATGAGACGCCTTTTTTCATTCTGGTTGTTAACCTTAAATCGTTCTTTATCCATAACTAGTTTAAGGATAGTTCAAAAAGAAAAAAAGACTTAAAAATGATGAAAGCAAACACTTTAGGAACTCCTAAAAATGTTTTGTGGAAGTTTTACAAGAAAAAGCAAAGTAGGGCGGCGAGAGGAATAGAACCGGGGAGCAAAAATGGCATAGGTTTCGGGGTCTAGCACACTATCCCCCAGACCGCCGTGGTTTTTCTTCTTTTCGGCTTGGCTTGTAGGTGAGGTGTGAGTTTGCCGAAAATGGCCGAAACTTTGCAGGCGCTTTTCTCGAAAGCTAGGTGGGCAAAAAAATAAACACAGCATCGGATGACCGATAGGCGTTTGCATCTCATCGCCGTTTAAAAGTCTCACATCCTCTTTGAAACGCTCCCCTGTCAGCTCTAGTACGCCTGCACCTCCTAATAAATGCGCGGTACCCCTTAATCCTGACTTTCTCCTAACACGAAAGCATCCGAGTTTGAATTTATTTTAAGGAAATTCACTTCGAGATTACGAGGCATGTTGCAAGATGCTAAAAAGAAGCAAAACTTGAATTTTGTTCACCAAGCTGATGATCAGAAGTAGCTAGTTTCACTCCAATTCTTTCCTGAGCCCGTTTCAGAAACAAAGGACCTGTTTTGTAAAAACTGGGGGCTCCCATTAACATTAACATTAACATTAACTACCTGAAGGACCCTTAAACCATTTTAAGATCTGATTTTAAAGAGCTAAATGATATGGTCATATATTCTCTTCACTCACAATCCGTTCACTCGCTTATTGTCTTTGTCGAGTATTTCGATCGTGAGCACGTCGTTCTCGACTCGAACGATTTCTAATGTGATGTTCACGTCATGAGAGTCTATAATGGCAATACTTCATAGCGAAAACTATCATTTACCACAATGATAGCAGTACTGGTATGGGATCCAATGCTCATAGGGGATACTCGGCTCTCCATATCCTTCACTTTGCGCAAAGAAATACCCATCACATTGCTTTCTGATGATTCCAACATCTTCATCTGAGTGAGTGGAAGTTAAACGACCAAATTAGTTGACAAAATTAGTTATGATGCAAAATATCCATAAAAACCGATATTTATTTGTAAGGATTTCTGTTCTTTTTTACATATAGTAGATTATATATTGCTGCTGTTTTCGAAAAATTATGATATTTAGAAGCTGCTTTTCGTTTAGATCATTTAGATAGGGATTTTAGAAGCTGCTTTAAAAAAACATTGTTTCTAAGCGAGTCTTGTCAAATTTTTTTGCGGTAAAATGTTGGCGCTTGATGATATTTTGGAAGTAGGAAAAATGCGAGCTTTTTTGCGCACCTTTTTCATGTTTTAAAAAAGCTCTAAAAAACTGATATTAACCCATTTCTCTTTTAAAAGTTGTTTTTCTGAGTAATTTTCGGGCTTATAATCCAAATTGTAACATATTAGAGCTTTTGGAAGCAAACGTTTATACAGTGCGTTTCAAATTCTTAAACGCACCCTCTAAAATAGCGGATTTTGCATTTTGACCACCGCTACAACTATTAATCTTTTTCTATTAGAAAGAGCATGTCTTAAAACCTAAATAACACGAAAAAGAAGCATACTGTAAAAAGTAAAAATTTTCAAAATAGAAACTTTTTGCTAAATCGACCGTTTCAAATTCTTAAACGCACCTGCCTTTGCTGTTGTTATTTGAAATTTTTCGTTTTGTTGTGCATATCTTTTTATTAAATTTATAATTTTTGTTAATTTCCAGGTAAATGGCACACGGAAAGCTGCTCACGGATTATGATAAAGGGCAGATTGATGCCCGTTTGAGGATTGGCGACTGAATAAGGAAAATCGCAAAAAATTTTGGCCGATCCGACTCTGCCGTGCGAAATTATAGAAAGTTCGAGTTCGTTTCTGCACCAAAGAAGAAGCCAGGACCGAAACCAAGCTTACGCCGCGAGCTAGACGCCATATTGTGAACAAAATCCACGGAAAAACGATCAATGAAGTGAAAACAGACTGAAAATCGACGCTTCGAAGTCGACAATTTGGCGAGTCGTCACGGAAAATCCACATATCGATCGACAATTATTGAACATGCAGCCGGTCGTGAAGCTTTGCACAAGAAAGCCCGATTGGAGTTCGCCAAGGCTCATATGAATCAGGATTGATCTATGGTTAGAAAGCCGCTTATGTTTTATTATTTTTAGGTGATCTTTTCCGATGCGAAGAAATGGAATTGGGATGGCCCCAATGGCGTTGACTACTATTGGAGGGATCTTCGACGTGATCCGATGGTGTTTGGAACTCGAAACTTTGGCGGTGGTTCTGTGATGGTTTGGGCCGGATTTTGTGCTGATGGAACGGTCGCTCTGAAGATGGTTTCGAATCGGATGACTAGATAGATATCTTGTACAATTGCTTGTTGCCGTTTTTGCTCCTAAATCCAACCGTTCCGGACTTGTTTCAATACGACAACGCGTCAATTCATCGAGCCGGAGACACCCTGAACTGGCTGAACAGCAACAACATTGCAACTTTGGACTGGCCCGCTCAGTCTCCTGACCTCAATCCGATCGAAAATTTATGGGAAATACTTGTCCAAGCTGTCTACAAGAATCATCGTCAGTTTCAAGACGTTTCTACACTTAAAGCAGCACTTTTTTTTCGGCCTGGAGCGATCTCGACGTCTCTGCTCTTCAAAACCTCATCAATTCAATGCCAGACCGCATTTTTCAAGTAATTAATCGTTCTGGTGCGTGTACAGATTATTAGTTTTGATTTTTAACCTTTGATTTTTAATTTGTGTCGATAAATAAAAATATTTTCATAGTGCGTTTAAGAATTTGAAACGGTCGATTTAGCAAAAAGTTTCTATTTTGAAAATTTTTACTTTTTACAGTATGCTTCTTTTTCGTGTTATTTAGGTTTTAAGACATGCTCTTTCTAATAGAAAAAGATTAATAGTTGTAGCGGTGGTCAAAATGCAAAATCCGCTATTTTAGAGGGTGCGTTTAAGAATTTGAAACGCACTGTATTAGGTACATGCATAAGAAATGCGGATTTCAACATTTTCGTAAATTTCCAACGATAGAAACCTGATACCGATGAATGTCATAAACTATTTGAAAGTTGTAAATCTCCTCTACAAAATGGGTTAAAACGTGTTTGAATTGATCGAACCATTGAAGAAATTTCGAGGCCGAAATGCGAGTGACCAAAAGAGGAATCGAGTCACTTTAGGGCACTTTTTGAAAACCTCACTTTCACAAGAGTTCAGTTTTGACTATGTAGTGGAAAATGAGCGCCCTAAAATATCATTCAAAATAATAATTAAGAGTTGGGATCATTTCATGGGAAAACTTTGTTTTTGCAATAATTTTTCTTTTTTTGTGAAAAAGCCGGTTCTTTAACAATTTTGAGGGTTTTGAACTTACGCTCTATCTAAATTTCTGTAAATGCATTTCCTTTAGACTTGTTTAATGAATTGATATTTAGTTATCCTTTTTTCTTGAATCTTCAATTTTGGGAAGCTAACTCTATTTTGACCACACTAAACTTGTCCCTAAAGTGACTCGATTCCTTTTTTGGTCACTCCCATTTCCCCTCGAAATTTCTTCAATGGTTCGATCAATTCAAACACGTTTTAACCCATTTTGTAGAGGAGATTTACAACTTTCAAATAGCTTATAACATTCATCGATATCGGGTTTCTATCGTTGGAAATTTATGAAAATGTTGAAATCCGCATTTCTTATGCATGCACCTAATAAAATCTATTCCTCGCTGTAAAAGAGACAAATCACAAACAGTTTTGGTATGGGCTGATTTCCATTGTTGGAGAGCATTTTCGGGGCACGAGAATAGCGTATTGAGTGGCGGTAAAGAGTTGATATGGAAAGTCTTCTTTGGCTCTGAAATTCACATACACTACTGGACAAAAGACTATCACCTCGCGAATTTTTCTCCATCTTTGAAGAGCTATAACTCCAAGCCTTTCCATCGTAGACTAGAAGTATCATAGTGGTTCTCAAAGCTTAAAACGAGCACTATTAGATGGTGTAGCCGCTTTTTAAAATTTTTAATTTTTGACACATTTTGGGGTGCGCATAATAGTTTGAAAAAACAGCATTTTCAGCGATGTTTTTCTTGTTGATTCCGTGTTTTAAACATCTTGAAATCGGGTTTTTTGGAAAGAACGTGCAAAATTGCCCTTAGAAACCATCGGTTTGCGTATTTCTTTTTGTCTCAAAGTTCTAAAAAACCAACTTCACATCATCATCATCAACAAGAATCAACAAGAATGGAAATGCTTTTTGCGCATCGCAAAATGTGTCAAAAATTAAAATACTTTTAAAAAGGCGGATACACTTTCCAAAAAACACGGTTTCAAGACGATTAGAGCACGGAATCAACAAGAAAAACCGCGCTGGAAATGCTGTTTTTTCAAACGCTATTTTGCGCATCGCAAAATGTGTCTAAAATTAAATAATTTTAAAAGCGGATAAACCATCTTATAGAGATTGTTTTAAGCTTTCAGAACCACTATAACACTTCTAGTCTACGATGGAAAAGCTCGGAGTTATAGCTCTTCAAAGATGGAGAAAAATTCGCGAGGTGATAATCTTTTGCCCAGTACTGTATGGATAGCTTTCAAGCGTTGCAATTCAATCACCATAATCCGTCCTCGACTCTTGCTACTCGGATTTACCTAGAACTAGAACTGCCTAATGAGCGGAGAAACGAGTGACAGATTGCGAAGTTAAATCTGCTAATTTACCTCGTTTTCAGCAAGAACTGTTTCGATTCAGTGGTTCGATTGACCGGTATTCCACCGGCATAGATTTCGTATTCGCATTCGTCCTGAAAAAGTACGCTTATAAATTTGTTTAATAATATTAGCCTTCAAAATATTAGTAATAATATTAATTACAAAAGTTTTCAAAAATATTGGTTCCATAAAATCACTTAAAAAACAGCACAAAGCCAGAACAAAATCTCCTTTTAAAAGAGTTTTTTAAAAGAGTTAAAAGAGTTAAAAAAAACAATTACAGTCGACTATCGATACAACGATTGTGAAATTGTAAAACACGCCCTTAGTTTAGCAGCTCAGCCAAACTCAATCGTTGGCCGTTCAGCTACGCAAAAAATTTGGGGCAGGTTTTAGAAGCGTTAAATCGAAATTTTTGATCCCAAGCAAATCGTTAAATCGAGAGTCGATTGTACCTCGCGATTTTTCGGCAGCATAAATCGATAGTCACCGCCTGCGTCGGGGAACTCAGCTAGATGTGTGTCTGCATTGTAACTCAACGCCCAGAGCACCCAAAACTCGGTGTCTCTCGGTGAGATGACCGCTGTCAGATTTCGGCTCTGATCGGGCGTCTCCGAGCTCAAGATAACGACCGGGGTTGTGTCTGGAAAACGGTTATATTTATGGTTATATATTTTTTCTAGCTTCTAATTTACAGAGGTTCTCTAAGGGTGTCAAGGGAGCCCCGTGTCCCAGTTCCCAGCCCGTCAATTTCTCTAAATGCTCCGGCCCGGTCCGCCTCACTTATTTTGAACTTCCACGGCCCATGATTTTGATACCCTTGACCACGGGGTTTACAGAGCTATGGGTTAAACAAACATCACCATTTAAAAGCTTTTCCAATCGAATTGATGCGGAATAGTAGGCGAGAAAAACGAGCTGCCCCATTTCTTGTCTCACCGTCAAACGATTGCCCACTATCGGCACCCGATAGCGACAACACGTCGCATTGTAAGCGTTTGTTGGTTGACTAAATGGGTAAGACTTCATTCGATGATTTTTAGCTTTTCGTTCTAGCTTTCAAGATGATTTAAATTCTGGCTGCTTGCAGTGCCAATGGCTTTCTAACTCGTTTTACTGCATTATCTCTATTTTTTTATAGTAATAACATCTAACTTCATATCAAAAAATTAGTTATCAACTGTCTATCGCTATGATAAAAGCAAATAGATAAATTTGGGAAGACACAAAAGTTGGGGCAATGATTTGCGATGAAATCTTGAATTTGAATTTGAAACAAATACAAACGCATCCTTTCTGGCACACTCAATTCTGTTTTTCGGCTAAAACTGAAAGGTGAATGAGCCAGAAATGACCGTTTTCAGTGTTTAAGCACAAAGCACAAAAACAGATCAATTATTTTAGATTTAAACAAATTGAAGTAGCTAGTGAATTCTGGCTAAAAGTGCTGCTTTATCTTTGGCCGAATAGGAGACTCCACTCAAGCTGATCACATTCGTTTTCATTAGTTTTTGCTACTTTCTTTGATTTTCATTATTCTCATACATTATTGCATCACCGGATTCACAATTCACTGGATCATATTGCTTGTCATTGATATAATATTTTGTTTGCTTCTTATCCGAATAATGAGTCCAACAGAGATCTACAATGGCCATGTCACAATCGGGGCAATCGATCACCGGGAGACACGTCTGCTGACCACGATATTCTGAAACAATTTTTCTTGAGGGATTAACTTATTTAAACATTATAGACTTTGTTGATATAAGATTTTGTTGTTCTTTTCTCTCCTCTCTCTCATTACTATGGGCTCATTGTTCACTCCAACCCCTGGATTTGTTGTGCCTAAGAGCTACAGCTAAGATCCAGAGCTAAAAAATGAAACCTAACCGGAGTAGAACTTTGAATTTGTGTAAAGATGCTAGACTCACGAGTCCACGTGGGAGACAATAGGAATTCGGGTGATTTGTAACCGAGTGGAAATGTTCCCACACAATTCATCCCAGCTTCAACGATTTTCTGGATAATTGGATATTACAAAAATACAACTCCGTAGTAAAAATTGAAATTTGGACGAAAACTGCAACGTTTTTGCTAGCTTTTTCATATACAGAGTGTCCCAAAGGGCAGAATCTCCTACATCCACCCATCCTACCTGAGGCGCTTCATCGACGATCGTTCTTCCCGATGGATAATCACTAGCTCGCACAAAAGTAAACAGAAAAAGATGCCAGCAACTTCTCATAGCAAAATTTGAATTCAATTTCTGGAATGGAGTTAAAAATTTTCTTCACTATGAATTTAAATATGAAGCTCTATCAAAAAGTCATGTCAGACAGAGGGGTTAAGGGAGGAATTACAGATGTCAGGCGCCCTTGCGATAACGGCGGGTCGAGTTTATGATGTGACTCATGTTTGAGTCCTGTTTGGTTACGTTTTACCTCAATGACTGGTTTTATCACATATGTAGAAGCTGGAGACTATGAGATTCGGAGGTTTTGTCTGGAATCGGGTGCCAGCTCAGGTCATGTCTCTGCCGGTAACTTCTTATAGAGAATTTCAGGTTTTTTTATTGTCTCTTAAATCGAGGTCAAATCAAAATCCTAATGTTTCAATCAGTCGAATCAGTTCCCAGTGTTCCCACAGTCAATTTCCAGTGTTCTCACAGTCAATTCTCAGTGTTCCCACAGCCAATTCCCAGTGTTCCCACAGCCAGGGTTCCACATTGGCGGCTTTTTCAGTAGTAAACCTCCAAAACCTCCAAATCTTATATTTAATTACTCTCTAATCAATTAATGAATCTAATTGAATACGAAAGACAAAGGTGGATACCAGCAATTGCTCATAGAATTTGAATTTCAACTTCTTATATCTAAAGTGCCGTGTAGAAAGCTTTTATCTTTTAGTTTACGTCTGGTGAAACCATTATCAGAAAGACACATCAAACAGAGCGCTTAGCCGGGAGATAATGCTTGTCGTCTTTTTGATAACCGAGAGAAACTTAAAGTTTTTTTTATGAAATGAACAGGTGTTTGATCACCTTTTTTGGAAATCGATTTTCTAATATGTACAGGGTGTCCCAAAAGTTCTTATACTTTTTCTAAGGTAATCATAAGTCTTAACTTGTTTAATTTTAAACAAATCGAAGGTAACGAGTTGTTTATTTAACACTAAACCAACAAAGAATTATAACAAATATCCAAAATTTCCGTCTTCAGCTTCAATACACTTCTTTAATCGCTTGGGGAAGTTCTTGACGATGGTCGTACATTGCTGCACGGTGTTTGCCCAGGCTTTCTTTAAACCGACTTTCAAAGCATCCAACTCTATGAAAACTCTTGCCTGAGATCTTGGTAAAAGTAGAAGAACTTATAAAAAAGTATAAGCACTTTTGGAACACCCTGTATACGCAGAACCGGGTGGATTTGTCAAATCTCCAATGTCAAATGAAACGAAGTCATTTCCAAGTAAGTGTACGACCTCTGATCGTAAGTAATTTTTGATTCTAGTTTGGCTCAAAGTATAGATTCAAGTTTGAACAGCAATGTCACATAGAAACCTTAATCGGAATACTACCACATGAATGTTGGCTCAAACCAAAAGGCAAAATATAGATAATTTCCTGTCCTCATTCTAGGTCTAACCATTTCCGGCCACCTATCCATCTTCCATTTCTTCACTTTGGCCGCGTTTCTCTGGCTGACCGTTCCCTATATGCCCATCCAGGTTGTCCGGAAATAAATTAGCGTTTTGTATTGTTTATTATTTGGGTACATTTTTCTCAATAAAGTATGCTATATACCTGGCAAAGATGTGTTAATTGTAATGGTTCTTATTTCGATTAATAAAGTTTTTTTTGGATCAAGTTATGGGATTTTAAAGATTCGAGTTGAAAACGCTCATTTATTTCCGGACAACCTAATATATCAATATCACAATTTTTCGAAATCGCATCCATAAAATACTCGCTCAATCAGCAATGAGTAAGCAACGATGTGCACAAGAGACTTGTCAAGGTTGGCCTTCACCATGTTCAATGTTCTGCCTTTAAAACCATCCAAGCGGAAAAACAAAGCCAGTCCTAATCCAAATTGTTCCGCTTACTTTAGAAAATACCTGCATAAGTTTCATTAAAAAGGGGGAAGGTCAAGATTCGGACGACGCCATTTATCTAGGCTCTCGTCCTTCAAGCTTGTCTCCGCTTAATCTACTCGGTGGCCGTGTTTGTATATGCGATCGAACAATTTGGGATCACTCCTTGTCCTTGCATTTCTCATATTCCAGGTAGCAAACAAAACTGGCGAAAAGTTTCTCTGTGTATCCCAACAAAGCTTTTTGCAGTTTTCCCCCATTTTTCAGATAGTCAGTGTTGTGCCCGTCCTTTCGCCATTTCTCTCCCTTTATTTCATCGCTCCCTATCGAAAGGCTCTCTACGTATTTTTTCGACTTCAAAAGTCTGAACAAAATGTTCATTTGGTAAGTGTGATAAGTAGAGGGTGGCGAAAATTACGGCGAGAATTACGTGCACGTGGTTTTCTTTTGATTGACAGCGCTCTGCAAACATATTTCTAAGAAATCCATTTTTAAAAAGTAGCTACCGTATTTACTCTAATAAAAGCCCCCCCTCTAATAAAAGCCCCCCTCTAATAAAAGCCCCCCTCTAATAAAAGCCCCCCCTCTAATAAAGCCCCCCTCTAATAAACGCCCCCCCCTCCAATAAACGCCCCCCCCCCAAGTACGAAAATTTACAAACTACATAGGAATAGCGACTTTTTTTTGATAATTTTTTGGTTTCTCTTTTAAACTTTCTAAGTAATCATTTTTACGTTTTGTTGATTTGCCGTATACTTTTGAAGTACCGCCCCAAGTGTCCCTCAAAAGTTTCCCCAAAGTGTCCCCATATGGGAACTCTTTTTGATACTGAAATGCTTCGTTTTCTTTTTTTCTCTAGAGCTTTTTTAAAATTCTGTTACAGACGAAATTGTTTAAACTCTCCATATTAGATTTTCTCTTTGGGGACAGTTTGGGGAAACTTTTTGGGGACACTTGGGGGCGGTACTAAGATGAAACCGTTTGTTGTGTTACCACGAAAAAGAATGGATAAGAAAGTTGAAGAAAAGTTTCGCAAACGATTAATCCTTTATTGGAGTGGTAAAGAGCAAAAATGCTTCGATAGCTCAATCACAACTGATTATTTGGAAAGGACCTTTCGGGGGATTGGGTTCTTTGACAAAAAGGAACGCTCTTTCCTAGTATGGGATCAACACACGGCCCATCGAAGCGAATCAACGATGAAATCTTTGACAAAACTAAAGCTAGACTGCTTTTTTGTACCTGGAGGCACGACTAAATTTGTTCAATGTGCAGATGTTTCCTGGAATGCTCCCTTTAAAAAATATATTCGACATCAATATGAAGATTGGATCCTATCAACGGCACCCGAATTGACGAAATCGAAAGCTGATGGATCTGGTGGTGGTAACCCCAAACCTCCTGCAATGGATGTTTATCTGGAATGGATTGCTTCGTCTTGGGAAAAACTATCTTCAGAAATGATTGCCGAGTCATTTAAAATCTGCGGAGTAGGAATTGATCAGGATGGAAAAGAAGATCATCTTATTCACTGCTTCCGCTCAGATGGCCCGATACCTTCCGGATTTAAAGCAATTCAGAGTGCCCGATTGGATAGGGAAATCGATAAAATTTTAGTCCCAAGCATCGAATCAGCAAATTTTCGTGAGCCTAGACAAGAGGCTGAATACGATTCTGATACATCAATTGCTTGAAATGCTGTTTTTCTTACATTCTTAGTTTCTGTTAATTTTTGTTGTTGAAATAAATAAATAATTCGATAAAAGTGACTTATGATCTCGAATGCTTTATTTGCACTACTATTTTTTTTATCGTTGAATCAACGTCAATTATGTGTCTAAGTACGCCTGCAGAGGGCTATCGAAAAATAAAAGCCCCCCTCCAATAAACGCCCCCCTCTAATAAACGCCCCCCTTGAGGGGTATCGAAAAAATAAACGCCCCGGGGCTTTTAATAGAGTAAATACGGTAGTTATTTCTAGTTTTTAAAAATCAAAACCGTTTTTCGAAAGCTCTTTTAGTTTTTTAGTTATGCTCATTCTCGTAACTATCCAAAAAAAGGTCACTGCACCGCTGCTCGTTTTTTTCAAATTTCAGACCAAAATATTTTTGTAAAAGCGGTTAGTTGGTTGGTTTTCCTAAATTGTAAGTTGTTGAAAAAGAGGAAAGAATTCGTAAAAAATGTTTTTCT